TGCAGCAAAGTCCAAGCGCAGCTTGAGGGAGTACAAGCAATCCAGTCTTCCAGCCAAGCGTTCGCTGCAATTCTGGCGGATGGTTCCGTCGTGACCTGGGGCAAGCATGATTCTGGTGGTGACAGCAGCCATGTCCAGCAGCGGCTGAAGAACGTACAGCAAATCCAGTCTTCTAGTGGTGCCTTTGCTGCAATCCTAGCCGATGGTTCGGTCGTGACTTGGGGTCACCCTTTTTCGGGTGGCGACAGCAGCCGAGTGGACGGACAGCTCAAGGACGTGCGGCACATACAGGCTTCCGATAGAGCATTTGCGGCAATTTCGCAGGATGGAGCAGTTTCTTGGTCAATCTTGGTAGCCCAGTGGTACCCGTTACCCTGTCTTTGTTGGTTCAAGGTTTCCTTATAAAGAAACCAACCAAAAAAGGTACCCTTCAAATACTACTACAGGACAACTGGGCTATCAAGCGATTAATGGATCTGAAGCGGCGACACTCCGAAGGGGTTGTAGAGTATCACAGAAGTGTATAAGGACTTTGCGCCCGAACTCCACCATGGGGGGGGGGGGGGGGGGCGGGCACCCTACACCCTAAACCTTAAACCCTAAACCCTAAACCCTAAACCATAAACCCTTCATTTCGCCCAACCCCCCCGAGGTTGTTACATGGGGCCACGGGGATTTCGGCGGTTGCAGCTACGAGCTGGAGCAGGAGCTCAGGCCTGTCCAGCAGCGGCCCAAGCGAAAGCGCGCTGCGTCCCCAGAGGCTGGGGCATCCAGTGAGCAGCCCTGAGCTTGACAGCGGCTCTTGAAGGTCTTGACCCTAAACCCTAAACCCTAAACCCTAAACCCTAAACCCTGAACCCTAAACCCTTTGAGCCGCGTGCTCCACCTCGGTTCGACAGTTTTCCGTCCTGCGACCTGCGCGCCGCGAGCGCGCGAGAGCTTTGCGGAGAAGACTCGCCGATTGGGCTGTTGGGTTAGGGTTTATAGGGTTTATAGGGTTTAGAGGGTTTAAAGGGTTTATGGGGTTGTAGGGTTTTCAGAGTTTTAGGTTTGTAGGGTTTTAGGCTTGTAGGGTTTCGGGGTGTGGTTAGGGGTTTAGGATTTGTGGGTTTTAGGGTTTGTTCAGGGTGTTAGGGTTTAAGGCTTTGAGGTGTTAGGGTTTAGGAACTATGGTTGTGTGATTTTGGGATTATATAAGGGTCGTGCAAGTAAGAAGGGTTCGGTGCAAAGGTAGTATCGTTCACCCACGAGGATTTTAGATGGCATGGGGAAGTGTGTCCGAGGTTCTGTTTCATTTGGAAGGACCGCACTCTTGAAAAGGAAAAACCGCTCTGGAGAGAGGAGCGGCTGAGGACAAGTCCTGCATGCTATACCTAAATCTCAGACACCGTCGCAGCAGGATGCAGGTGAACTAAGTCAGCCGAGCTTTCAAGCTCTATATGCCTTGTATGATGGAGTCTAAGTCAACGGGCTTAGCGGGGTTCTCTACTATGGTCGCTTCGGCTGGGCCAGGCTGGTCAGGTTTGTGACGTGCTTGACATAGAGTCTGATGGCTCAATCGCAACTCCTCGAGATATGCATCCAACACCATGCTGCACCCGAGCTAGCCCAGGGAAAGTACAGCGCACACGAGTTTGACCATGGCAAGTACTCCCCAAGCTTCGGTTGATTCCGCGCAGCTGAGCTTGAGATGGGTCTGCAGAGCAACTGCGCGGCATGCCGGCAGTCCGGAGTCTCGAGGTGCATTTGCCTGTGAAGAAGCCTCGAGTCTAGCGTGTTTAGGGTTAGGGTTTAGGTCCCTTCAGCTTTTACTGTTACGTCTCGTTGCACTTTGTGACTGTCTGGCAGGTTGCGTGAGGGCTCAGAGTCGTCAGTGAGCCTTGCGAAAGCCGGTTCTCTCAGCCACTCTCAAGGGTCTCAAGCCCAAATGACTGGTCTGTTCAGTGTCAGCGTGGACTTCTTACGCGACGTGGACACAGGATGGATGGTGCAGAACCTGACAGATGACAACTGTTGCATTCCAGGCCCTAAATTTAAGATACTCCAGCGCTGCGGTTCCGTAAGCGCTTCGTTCGCAGGGGACAGACTCGCAGTGGAGAATCGTTCAGCTGTACCTTAGGGTTCCGGGGTGCCATGGGGTACCATCATTCGACACTAATCTACAGGAATCTGGTGGAATATTGGATCTTTGCTAGGAGGGACTGTGCAGGGGACCGATTTCGGGTACCAGGTGAGTTTGTCAGATGACCATGCAAATGGTCTGTTTTGGCAGCCTTCGGCCTTCAGTGAACAGTTGGTAGCTGTAGCTGTCGGACGCAATTTAGGAGCATGAGTGCTGGCTTGTGTGCCCGACTTCTGGTTGTGAGCTTGACGCTCCAGCAAGTGCGTAGCGGCAATGCAGGCGAAGCCTTGAAGCTTTTCCATGGAGGAAACAGCTCAGCACATGTCAAGGTAAAAGCGGAACAGACTCACGCCTTTTGCAAAGTGGATCCACTTACCCAACGCCTTAAACCCACTACCCCAAAGCCTAAGCCCCTTGAACCCCTAATTAACCCTAACCCTAAACTTTACATCCCAAACCCAGCCATAAAACCCTAAGCTCGGAGGGTTTTTTGGAGGCGTGTGGGGCAGTGCCTCGGAGTCATCCCTTGCGTGGCAGTGCTGGTGGCGACACTGGGCCCAAGATAGTTTCAGGACGGCTTCACAGTCGTAATGTTTTATGGGTTTGCTGCCTGGAGTTTGGGCTTCACGGTCTGGGGTTAGTTCACCATTTAAGGGTTTAGTGTTGCGGGTGAGTGGTTAAAGTCTTGGTGTTTAGCGTTCGGGGTGGGTTCGCGACGTAGGTTTAGGTTTAGGGTTTCGGATTTGAGGGTCGAGGTTTTTGAAAGTGTGAGAGCGATGAGTGATTCCCTGCCTGACGCATGGGGTTTAGGGTTTGGGGTTTGGGTTTTAGGGTTCATAGGGTACCTTAAACCCTAAACCCGAAACCCTAGACCGAAGCTTGCTTCCGACAGCCTTGGGTGCCTTTTGTGTCCTCGTGCGCAGGAAAGTTGGGGGGGCTGTTAGGCAGAGCAACAGGGGGAGTAGGTACCTAGAAAACCTTGGGGAAGCTTCGGGCGCCTTAGGGAGTATTGGGGAGTATTAGGGAAGCTTGGGTTACATACCCCCCCTTGAACCCCGAAGAAGGAGGGCTCATGGAGGTGGGAGGGGCTCTGTGACCGATCCAATTCTCAAAATGTTCTCACGGTGGCATAGAGCCATGATAATATCAATGGTCCGCCGTCCGTCCGCTTGTGCACGAGATCCACCAAATTCCTGCTTTGTAGGACATGGGGCTATTTATTTTGTTCTACCTTTACTGTGTTTAGAAGTACTATGTCTGTCAATATTCATAAGGGGCCAACCGCTTGTACCAGACTGAGGCTATAGCACCTGAGTGGGTACTGCAGTCTCAAGACCCGCAGCACACGAAAGTCCTGGCCTACGAGAATGGGTCTTGTGGAAAATGGGGGAATGAATGATTACTCTACTGGTAGGTTTCTTTGAACGGTTTTCTAGGGATTGCTGGACAAGGTCATTCCTGCATTCCCTACGAGCCATTGGTAAGAAATCTAGGTGTCCAAGAGATGGATGGGCAGATGGGGGGGGGGGTAAAGGGTTAGTGCGCGGGAACGGGTCAGTTCGCTTTTTGGTGGAACCTGTCTTTGACCGAGCTGTATGTAGCACTTGTGAGGAGGTGTAGGTTCAGACTTGGTATAGGTTGTCGAGCATGCAGAGCTTTTGACGATAGGGCAAAGTGCCATGTCGGGCTCAGGGTTTACGCTGTCGGCTTCGATTCGAGCTATGGATGGCTATGGCTTTGTTTCTTCGATCAAGGTACATGTTCATAGCTGGCTCACCCGTTCGAACTCTCAGCCCGAGATGGGCATCGGTAGCCCCCAGCTAAGCCCTAAGCATAAATGGGTCTACACCCTCAATGTTCTCCTAGAGCCTGAATAACCCACTGCAGCTCTTAGTTCTTCCCATGAGGCTCACCTCAAAGAGTTTGATGCCTTGGCAAGGGTCGCATCATGAAACACGGGGGGGTTTTAGGGTTTAGGGTTCAGGGTTCCTCCGAAGTGTTCGAAGTTCCTTGAACATGTTCGGCCCATGGCAGTGGTTTAGGGTTAACGGGTTTAGGAGTTTTTCGTGCCGGAGCCAGCTTCCGCGGAGCGGTAAGGCTAGGCCTAGGTGAGCCCATAAGAACCCCGCGCCCCCTCTAATAGTAGAAACCCTTTGGGGGTTTCGGGGGTGTCTAAATACTAGGAGTGGGGGGGCTTTAATACTAGGGGGAAGGGAGTATGGGGATTGTGAGATTGAGAAGGTTGACATTTTGCAGGGCCGCACTCGGTTTTTGAACAGCACCCAGGAGATGAGGAAGGATGTTAATATAGGGGTCGGAAGAATCATTAATGGTATTCCCTGATGGTCCCTATATAGATCTACCTTAATAACCCCCAAAACCCTGTTCTAATCAATTATAGGCCCCTACGTTGTACAGTTCAGGCACAGAGTCGCCGAAGGGACGATGCCGAACCAGCGAAGCCTTTCCAACCCTACGTCCTACAGGTCTGAGTTATCAGACCTATCTGCTGCGGGCCTCCACGTTTAGGGTTTAGGGCTTAGGGTTTATAGTGCACTCCCGTAGAGTTTTTTGCAAACGGGCTTTGCTTAGGGCAACGTAAGTTCAGTAAACCCCGCTACATCCATAGAAGCGCGAAGCCCCGGAAAGAAGGTTCAACTCGAAGGCCTCAGATCCCCCCTTATCCAAATGGGAGGAGTTTTTTGGGGTTTATGGTTGAGGGTTAGGGTTTAGGGCTTAGGGCTTAGGATTTAGGGTGTAGGGTTTAGGGTTTAGCGTGTAGGGCTCAACGTTTTCAACCCTCCAGTGGCGTGGCTGCTATTCCAGGGCTCAAGGTCTTTCGGGGATTCCGTGCTCAGTGCTCTCCCTGACGGCGAGAATGGGCCCGATCCGTGCGTGGACCCTGGCGGCTGTGGCAGTGAACAAGGCCGGAAGAAGAACAGCGTTTACAGTTTAGGGTTTATAGCTTGTAAGGTTACCCTAAACCCTAAACCGTAAACCCTAAGCTCCCGATTCTTTGGGTGCTTATGGCCTTAGTTAAGCACTGAGACAGGAGTTTATATGGTTTGTTTGAAGGACCTTATGCGGCCCTTTTTGGCAGAAACTGGCATTTAGGCATTGAGGGCTGAGGATTTTAGGCTTTCGGTTGAGCTTTTTATTGGGCTTAGAGTTTAGGGTCCAGGGCCCGCATTTGAAACCCGCATGCGAGGTGCTCAGCCAGGACTGCTCCGGCCATGGAGTAACGTGGGGCCAAGGCGTCATGGCACCGACTTAGGGTTTAGGGTTTTCGGGTTTTCGGGTTTGGGGTTTAGGGCTGCCGATGCGGATGTATGGTTCGAAGGACTGACTGCAAACCAAGCAAGCACACTTGCAACCAAATGTGAATCGTTTCGACGCTGGGGGCTGAGTAGGATTCGGGGTTTGTCTCTTTTGTGCCTCAGAATGGGGTTTTTCGGGGTTTACGCTTTTGGCCCAAACCCCAAACCCCAAACCCTAAACCACCTAGACCCTAAATCAACCCTAACTCCAAACCCTAAACCCTAGACCCTAAATCAACCCTAAAGTCTAAACTCCAAACCCCAAACCCTAAAACCTCCAAGATTTACGTAGGGTGCCTCAGAGACCGGATCCTATTTCTTCCAGGCATCGGGCCACCACCCGACGGTTGCGGCATCTCGGCCAGGGTTTAGGGTTTAGGGTTTAGGGTTAAAGGGTTTAGGCTTTCGGCTTCAGGGTTTAGGGTTTACAGTTTCGGGTTTACGGTTTACAGTTTAGGGCTTAGGCTTAGGGTTGAGGTCGTTGCAGGCCTTGGGGGGTAGGGTTGAGGTCTTTAGGGAGTTGGAGTTTAGGGCTTGTGTGGCTTTCGGTTGTGGGCTTTGGGGGCTTTTTGCTTCAGAGGGCGTGGCGTTTAGCTTTCAGGGCAGGTTCCCCCCCAGCTTGGTTTAGGGTTTGGGTCTGAGGGTTTCGGGGTTTAGCCCTCAGTGTACATATGTTTTTCTTGGGGGAGGGGGGGGGGGGGTGGTGATAGCCAAACCCTCTGCAACGAGTGGTTGCTTCAGCGCCGTCCGTTCTGAAGAAGCACCTATACTTTAACCCTTGTTGCAGCCGCCAAGGAGCGAGGCTTTCATGGTGTCGGAGTTGAGGTTTCGGGGTTTGGGGTCGGGATGTCCCCCCTTATACTAACCGTCCTTTATCGGGGTTATAATAGGGGGTACTAGAATCCCTATTAAGGGCTGTTCGTAGAAGGGGGAACATCCCAGGTTTAGGGTTTAGAGCGAACCCCGAAATTTCAAGCCCCTTCAAACTTACCGAAGACTTCGTTAAGGTAATGGCGGCCCCCCGACCGACGGTGGCACCACGGCCGGATGCCTGCGGCCCAGAAAGCTTTAGGGTTTAGGGTTTAGGGTTTAGGGTTTAGGGTTTAGGGCTGCTTTCACACCAGCTGTGGGAACACGCCCTGGGTTGCCCTACACCCTGAACCCTAAACATGTAGTTAGGACTTGCCATTCGCATCTTGTCTCACCCAACATCCTAAACCCTCATCCGCGATGACACCCTAAGCCCTATAAACCCTCTACCCCAAAGCCTAAACCCAGCGCAGCAAGGCACGAACCCCACTTGTGCAAGTCCTCCGTGCGGCGCAAGGCTGCTGTTTGGCCGCAGACAGGCTTTAGGCAGGGGGTGTTGGGTTTGGGGTTTAGGGTGTAGGGTTTAGGGCTTAGGGTCCGAGACCCCGAGCCTTAAACCTTTGCGGGTTGAAGGGTTGTTGCATGCAGCTGTGTGTCCCCCAAAAGGTTCTCAGGAGACTCAGGAGTACACACACCTAAACCCTGAGCCCCCCAAACCAAGTTGGTGCTGGGATTGGTCAGGAATGGGACCTTTGGTTGAGGGGGGGACTCAAGGTTGTTTTGGGCGATTCTAGATGCGTCTATGAACCTCAAACCCTACAGCCAGAGCCCCCTGATCAGAGGGGTCCGGGAGGAGGTTTTCTGATGTAGCTATGGCTTGTTCGGGTTAGGGTTTAGGGTCAGGGCGTAGGGTCGGGGACCGCCACCATAATTTAAGACCCATTGCATCCGCAATCGCTTCCCAACAGGAGTCGACTTCCTGGGCAAGTTCTAACCTGCAATCTGCGCGAATCCCTAAACCCTAGGCCCTGAACCCCAAACGCTGCCATCCAAAACGAGGACTCCGACCCAACTGGTCGGAAACCATGGGCCCTTAGTGTGGCCCCTTGCCCTTGTATGGGGATTCGAAGCATGGGTCCTCATTCTATACAGCGTATACAAGGGTTATATAACAAGGGACCCCCAAAAAAGGGCCCAAGCTTGGAACCCTAGATGGCCCAGGCTGGGGGATGTCGGATGCACCACAGTTTCGGGAACCGAAACATTGAGCCACGAGCTGATCTCGGCAGGGGTTGCTGGGCTTCAACATAGGCCCTGAAAGGATTTCTAGGCTTCATGGCCTGAGGGCTTCGGGTTTAGGGTAACTTTCGGTGGCGCATCAATGTGTCAGTCTACACTCATAGAGGGAGCAAGAGAGGCAGAGAGAGAGAGAGAGAGAGGATGAACATTGCAGAATGCAATGGACCACATGTCCCTGATCCCTAAACCGAGTTAACCCGAGGCCTAGCCCAAGCTTTGATCCAGCCGAGGGGACGATTGCCGCCAATGCTCACATCTACGGGCCCTTTGAGGCGGTGACAGTTTAGGGTTGAGGGTTAAGGGTTAGGGGTTGAGGGTTAGGGGCTTAGGGTTCAGGATTTAGGGTTTAGGGCTTATGGTTCGGATTCCATGGGTTTTGCGGGGGGACCTCCAGGGTTTAAGTTTCGGTTTTCGGGGTCTGGGTTTACCAAAAGGGTCCCGATGCAGTACCCTTTTGGTGTACTAGACTGGAACCCCATATAGCTAACCCAAGCAAGAACCATATTGGTGCCTTCAGAGAGGGCTCAAGGATGAGAGGGCTTTGTGAAGCTTCATGCTCAGCTGCTCAGATCTGTTGGAGCTTTTTCGGTTGAGATGCTTGAGTTTGCTCTAATCGCTAAACCCTACGCCCTAAGCCCTAAACCCCAACCCTGAGCCCCAAAGCTCAAAGCACGGAATCATGACTTAAGGCTAGGATCTGCTGCCAAGGTCCCAGGGCAGCCCCAGAAACTAGGGTCTAGGGTTTGGATTTCGGGTTTAGGGTTTAGATTTTTCTTTTTTGGGGGTCTAAGAGAATCTTATTGAGGAACCTTGTTCAGAGGGTTTCTAGGGCCAACCTAATTAGTCTAAACCCTGTTCACAAGCCAAAGCCGCGGCTAGGCAGGCTTCACCGATCAGCAGAGCAACATCATCTCCAACTGGGGATGCTCCGACCCGACTCTGGTCTACGACACGGCCCCCGCTTCGGGGTTTGGGGTTCAGGGGAGCAGGGGGGGGGGGGGCTCGAAGAGAGGGTTTAGGGTTTTGGATGCTGAGAGGGTGCAGAGTGAGGCGTCTTTTGGGTTTTAGAGCTGAGGGGTTTAGATTCAAGTATCTGGTTCTTCGTCGAGTCTATGCCGCCCTACACACTGAGCTTGAAACCTGCTGCATGGCGGCTTTCGAAAAGCATACTACATGCATGTGTGTATATATATATGTATATTCTATATACAGATATGCTCATGTACAGAGATATGTGGAAATACATAAATATGTGAACAAACAACACGCGCACACACACGCACAAACATATATATATATATGTATATATATATATATGTATATGTATATATATATATATATATATGTATATATATATGTATATATATATATATACATATTGTGTATTTATTTGTCTATTCATGTAGGTTTTATATTTATATGTGTTTGTTTATTTATTTATTGATTTATTTATTCATTTACTTGTGTATATATGTACCTATGTATGCATCTTTCAGCATGTAGCCTTTACGTCTTTGACAACGTTTTTTGGGAGGTGGTTCACCACAGGTTTTGTTTCGTGCCCTGCGTCCTTACTCGTCATGGGGCAGACGCTTGTGTCTTGTGGGTTCAAAATGCTTGGCCATCATGATTTCTCATCTTAGAAAGAAGCTTGGCCCACTTCAACTCGGCGAGGGTTCGACAGTCTAATGTGTATTACTTCAATGATGTGCCGGAAGGGACGAACCTGTACAGCGTGTTGTGACGGTTTCGACAAGCTTCCGAGACTGTACTGGCTCCTGGCAGGAGGGCGGCAAGGACATTGGCATTGCCGAGCGCCATGTGGCGTACAAGTGCAACATTGAGCCTTTCAGCCTGAAAGAGATCTTAGGACTCTGTGGCCCCCATTTGCGCCTGCAGAGCTCCGCAAACACTGGCAATCTGTCCGCCCTCAGCCCTTCTGTGCCCTTCGTAGACAGAGCCCCAACGCCTCCAAAGTGACCCACAGCACATGGCCGCCAGATACGTGGGTGCAGGGGGTATGGCTTCAGTCGGGGCGCGATACTGTTCATGAGACCTGAAGTACTTCCCTAGCAGTTCATGGCACTCCTCTGGTGGTGGGGCGCCCTCCGTCAAAGCCCTGACCACGAACAACCCCTCGAAACCCCATCTCAGTACAGGGTTTGTAGAGTCGCTGTACGGCTTCAATTGTTTAAACCTTCTGGTTCGAGGTTTAGAGTGCAGGGTTTGAGGCAATTATTTGGCTTAGGGTTTAAAGGTAAGGGCTGAGGGTTTAGAGTTTGGGGCCCTTTTAAGTCCTAAACTTCAACCCCTAAACCAATGAGGGTCTGTCAGGTTCCCACGCACGGTCGGCAACACCTACTTCGGTGTGGTCGGCCCTTGCGGTGGTCACACGGGCTTCCTGACCTTGAGAAGAGAGCAGATTTCTTGTGCTTTGGGATGTGAGAGAAGTCTTAAACCCCAAACCCTTGCGTCTACTACTTTAGGAGGGTTGAAGGCGATTTTAGGAGTCGACGCCCTAAACGCTGATGGACCCGAAATCCCTGGCCTTCTGCAGCATGGTTTGTAGCCAGGTTTTCGAGCTTTGGGGTTCCACTGGGGTCCAGGGGAGTGAAATCTTCCCAACCCCTAAGCCCTAAACCGCAAACCCCCAAACCCTTAACCCTAAACCCCAAACCCCAAACCCTAAACCCTAAACCCCACATCCTAAACCCTAAACCCGAGTGTTAAGGGATTAGGTAGACCACCAAGGAGACTACCACTTCCATCGCAGCTTCGCTTGCCTCTACTCAGCCGCAGGGTTGCAGTGTTTAGGGTTTAGGGTTTAGGGTTTAGGATTTAGGGTTTAGGGTTTAGGGTTTAGGGTTTAGGGTCTAGGGCGGCAGGCGATTTTGGGCTGCTGTCCACTGTTCCCAAGTGTGAAGCTCTGGACCCAAGGTAAGGTTTTTTCAACTGAATATGGTGACTGGGTGGAAAGGGCTCATAGGATTAGGTTTCCTTCCTGGTTTCCAGGTGTGGCTCGGAGTAGCCAGGGTTTAGGGCTCCTGTCGATACAAGGCTCAGTTTTCATTTTTAGGAAGTTTATTGCTGGTTTAGGGTTCAGTGTTTAGGTTGGGGATGTGGCGTTGGGAAGCCTAGTGACAGCAGCTATCGCTGCACGGCTTGGTGAGGGTGAGCGTGTGAGATTGTGGTGCTGGCGGTATAGACAGAATCAGCTTCATTCTGAACTACTATAGGGGTCGGAATAATTACGAATGGTATTCCCTCATGGTCTCTACATAAATTGTACCATCAACACCCCCCCCCCCCTCCGGCCTTGGGAGCCCTATTCCAATCATTCATGCCCTGCTTTTAAGCGGCTGAGATCTTCGAAGCGTGTCCATCCTCGTGCCTCATGTCGCGCCAGAGGTGTGTTCAGCGCCCCTAGACTTTTCACGGGGTTTCCAAATTGTTTGGGGGCTTTATAGTATTTAGGAGTATATTGAGGAAAGCACCCAGTACTTTGGGAAATACCCAGAGAAGCCCTACAGCGTTCAGAGTCCTTGAAGTTATCGCAGGCTTTGTTTATCGACAACAAGAAAACTTAAGCCAAAGCCAAATCAGTAAACCCTAAACCCTAAACCCTAAACCCTAAACCCTAAACCCTAAACCCTAAACCCTAAACCGTGGCTTTGGGTTTAGGATAGTCAAGTCCAGTTCAGCCAAGGCCTCGGGCGGCCACTCCACGAAGGTGGGTGTCGTCACGAGCTACAACATCTATGGCAAGTGGGAGGACGCCGGTCACATCCACAAGGCTTCGTGTTCAGGATGTAGGCTTGGGAGCCCAGTGGCTCCCTTTTGCCCTTTTTTGGTTTTGGGCTTTCTTTTCATGTACCCAACCCTGAAACGGGCACCCTATTTATAATATGATTACAAGGCTACCCGGTAGGGTTTAGGCTGCTATGATGGTTTGCATGGCAGGGGTCAAGCAGCAGCAGAACTGGGATTGCCTCAACTTCGGGGCCTGCGGGCACTCCCCAAAGCTCCAATGCCCTCTAATTCGGTTTAGGGTTTAGGGTTTAGGGTTTAGGGTTTAGGGTTTAGGGTTTAGGGTTTAGGGTTTAGGGAATACTCCTAAAGCCATACTGGGCTTCCTACCTTTTTTTTGCAGGAACCTTTTTCAATTGGAATTTAGAATTTGCAAAATCCCTTCCTTACTCAATTGGGGAGTATTGGAGTCTCAGCGTCCGCTGTTTGTGGAGGACTACGAGAACAACAAGCTGCCGCTGCTGGACGCCTGCGGTGCCCACATTGGGCCAACGCCGGACTGCAGTCAGCTTTAGGTGGTAGGGCCCCTAGGATTGTTTTGACTTCATGGTTTAGGGTTGAGGGATTATAGGGTTGAGGGGTTGTAGGGCCTGGGGATCATGAGGACGATGGGGTTCAGGGATAGTAGGATTCAGGGTTTAGGGTTGAGGTGTTTGGGGTTTTGGGGCTCTTGAGGTTTAGGGGTGATATGGAGGTTTCAGTTTAGAGCTCGCAAGTTTAGGGCACATGTGGGGCAGTTCTAGTTTTGTAGGGGGTTCTTTGCTCTTCTTCGCTAGAATCCACCTAAGCCACGCGTTCTGGTCCTTGCTTGACGTGTATCCTGTTTGGAAGATGCACTGAAGCCGCCCTCACAAACCAAGGATTAGGGTTTAGGGTTTCCCCCTAATATATATATACATACATATATATTATATTATATTATATTATATTATATTATATTATATTATATTATATTATATTATATTATATTATATTATATTATATTATATTATATTTATTTCTTGATTTATAGACATATTGATATTCGAGGAAGGATAGATCATGGAGTCCAGGGCGTTGGGCTGAAGAGGCTGAGAACACTGCCAGGAGAGCTCCACTCCGGTGTACCACTACCATGTGCAAGATCAGGTGGACTGATCTGGGGTTTAGGGTTTAGTGTTTAGGGTTTAGGGTTTGGGGGGGTGGTCCGGACATGAGGTTTACTTTCGGGTCCATGTGCCTCAACTTTACATACTTGGGCCCAAAGTTTTTGTAGCAAGGTACATGGTCTTTGGGCGGTTTGTCTTTGTACTTCACGCCTTTGCAGCAGGCATGTTCCCTGTTGCCTCAGCTCAGCTTCATGCCTCTGTGCGCGTGGAGGGTAGCTACTATTTTGCTAGAAATACTAAATCATACTAATCCTATGTTACCCTTACAAAGAAGATTTTCTATCTTTTGGGAGCGGGGGGGGGTTCTTAAGCCATTGGTAGGTAAGGTTCGCTGCTTCACAAGGCACCTTTCACAGTCGGCTGCCACGGGCCCAGTGCCACCGGTGGCCTGGTCAGCTTGTCTGTCCCCTGGCGAGATTCAGGATTTCGGGTTCAGGGTTCAGGGTTTACGGTTCGGGAGTTGGCTGCGTTTAGGGTTTAGGGTTTGGGGTTTAGGGTTTAGTTTTTTTTTTTTTTGGGGGGGGGGGGGGGGGGTTTGGGGTGCACAAAGGCCATCACAGACTTGAACTTAAGGCTTTGCCGCCCCTAAGCCCTAATATCGAACCGTGAACCCGAATAATTACTCGGGCTCCTCCTTCGAGTTGCATCGTTTGGGGTTCTAGGGTTTAGGGTTTTAGGGTTCAGGGTTGAGGGTTGTAGGGTGTAGCATTTATTAGGGGTTTAACAGTTTAAGTAGGGTTTCGAGACCTTAAATATGGACCGTAGTGTATAAAGGGAGGTATAACTGGATAACCATATCGATCTGAAGGACCCTCATACGAAAGTTCTCAAAACGTAGCCCACAAACCCTTGGAATACTTCGGGGTTCAGGGTTCAGGGATTAGTCGAAGGGAGTATCTTGGAATACCCCTTTGATGCTCAAGCTCTGCCCATGCCATGTGCTGCAATTTGCTCTCGACACTCCCGTGCGCACGATGCGTTCAAGAAGTCGACTGAATGACAGTAAACCTCAGACCATCAATGCGAAATAGCCCTTAACCCCTAATTACTCTTAGTAATAAACCCCTGATTAGCCTGTCAACTAAACCCTAAACCCTAGCCCTGAATCCCCCCCCCCAACTCCACGTCAAGAGCTGCTGAGGTTTGCCGGTCGCTTTACCCAGACTGCGGCAGCAGCAGGGACGTCGTCAGCATCACCCTAAAGACAGGCTGGGTTTGGGGTTGAGGCGTGTCGCCTACTCTCTACCCACAACCGCAAACCCCTAAACCCCAAGCATATGCCCTGTGGACCGTCTTTGCCTTGAAACCGAACTGCAGCCCCCAGGACCGAATATGGAATAATTGTGGCATGTTGGGATACATGCGGTCCCTTGTTTTGGGAATTCTCATATGGACTGCATTAGTTACTGTATTTTACTGTATTTCGCCTTGGCCAGGGAGGCACAAACTAAGCATTCCCTTTTCATTTGGCTGAACAGATGTTATCTTAACCCTTAAACTTAAACTTCCTTAAGCCCTGGAGAAAGCCCAAGCCCTTGTATAAACTCTCCCTTAGCTTTGGGGAAGTTGTTCAGAGGGCCTTGTTAAAGGGCCAAGGCACAGAAAGCACGCCTGCATTTTATACTGACGCTAACTGGAAGTGAGTCAGGGGTATACGTGAGGGGCATGATCATCCCCCATAGACGCCAAACCCTCAACCCTAAACCCAAAACCCTAAACCCTACACCCTAAACCCTAAACCCTAAACCCTAAACCCTAAACCCTAAACCCTAAACCCTAAACCCTAAACCCTAAACCCTAAACCCTAAACCCTAAACCCTAAACCCTAAACCACAACCCTATAAACCCTAAACCGCAACCCTAAAACCTTGCAAAACCCTAAACCGTAAACCTCCCTCTTTAGGCTTCCTGACAATCCTTAACCCTAAACCCACCCTCTTTAGGCTTCCTGGCAATCCTAACCTTTTTGGCAAGGCACGGTCCAGTATGCCCGCTTCTGCCCCTGCTTCGATGCCACTGGCTCGAACGTTGACACACAGGCCGGGCCCATCACCGAGCCTAGTTGATTTGCTCTTGGACATACTCGAACCGCAAAGGGTCCGTGTACCTATATAGCAGGTGCTTGGGCCTTAAAGGGGTTTCTACGTAGTAGTTTTAGGGCCCACGGATATACTACATAGGTACACGGGCCCTTGCGGAACCTGCGAATTTCAGCTATTTTTGTTGATATTTATGTCTACGAATGTGCTTCCTTAGTACAGCTATTCTACCTACTACCTTAAGAACCCAAAACCCTACCTTTTTTGGTCGGTTGCTCAGAACCTGATATGGGGTTTCAAGAGCAAGCTCCTGCAAAAAGTGCAGCTTTGGGTTCTGATTTGTCTCATTTGTTGAAGGTGCTTTGGGTCTTGGAGTTTCGAGATTCTAGAAGGTGTTCAGGAGCGGCGAAGTTTGTGGAACCATTGAGGCCTTCCGTAAGACTCTTCTTCTTTGTACTTAATCGTCCACAGGGGTAGAAGCAACCTACAGAAAGTAAGTGTCTCGTAGGGTCCCGAGGAAAGGCACACTCGTCTGGATAGGCACGAAGTACAGGTGGAGGTTTGAAGCCCTAAACATGGCACCCTGTACCTGTAAAGACAAAATCCTGCGAATCTGCTCCTAGATACCAAGGCCTCACGTCCTATACAGTACCCCAAACCTACAAACAATACGATATAGGAATTCCAAAGTCCTGAGCTTTGGATGATTGAATTGAGCAAGTTTCAGACAACCCGACACCTCTAAGGCACCCTGAGCCCTAAACCCCACCCCTTACCCTGAAGAACCAAAATCTACCCTAAGAGATCTCAACCCGAAACATCGGAGAGCCGTCCTACGAGCTCCATCAACAGCTTCCCGGGCTTTGGCTACGGCTCAGCCAAGTCACCCTAAACCCTAAACCCTAAACCCACCTAGGACTCAGGGTAATATTTCGGGATTAAGGTTTCAGATTTACCTGAACCCAAGTCTACCGCTGTATGGTTGATCTCCACGCTTGGGGAGTAAGGAATATTCTGCAACATGTAGAGGTGTTTTTCTCATGACCTTGGGCCAAACCCTGAATCCGACACCTGACAAGGAGTTGCCGGCACTGGGAACCAGCGAGATCTCCTACACGGCAGGCAGGAGAAGGTTTAGATTTTTGTTTGCCTAGACACCCAACACGGTATGTGTGCCCATAATACCTTGTGAGAGTGTATACAGGTGTGTAAGGTGACCCTTAAGACCCCAAACCTTAGCTCCGAAACCCAACGCCACAGCTTTACATCCTCAACCCAACGGCGGATCGCTCTTTACCCACTGGTCTCTGCTCGAACAGCTTTATTCTGGGGTTGATGTCTATGGGCCCGAAAAACCACATAGCGCTTCATTGCCCATAGACATGTGATTTTCACACGGCCCCGCACATCTGCCCCAGCAGCAGATAGATGATATTCATCTTCTCCCTAACGACACTATTCTGACCAGGCAAGGCTTCAGGTCTCAATGTTGTTCTCTGTTCTTTTCCCCCCCCCCCCCCCACCCCCACGCCCAGGTTTGACCATCATTGTCTCTCATCCCCCCTAAACAATAAAACAAAGCTGTCCTTTTGGTTGGGGATTGAGGGATTCCTCTGGAGCCCTATAGGGCTGTCCCTGAAAAGGCATCTGCAGGAAGTTACATGTCCCTGAACTGGTCCCTTACATGCTTTAGGCCCTTGGGTTTCAGGCTACCCCTTTGAAAGCTTGTAGACATGCTGGGGTTCCTCAAGCTTTCTGAGTTTCAGCTCTCTTTGGCCAGTCTGGGCAGAACAGACTGGGCTGCACAGTGCAACGTGGTGCCTCATAAGTATGGCTGGACTCAGCATGAGCAGCACCGACAATGGAAAGGCTCCTCCTCAAAGGGTTTATTCTCCTTCGCCCAGTAGGTCGGCTCTGGAGAGGGTTCGACTCGTGCCTCCGCGTGCGTTCAGCACTGGGAGGGGCGGCAGCGATCGATAGATGGATATGTACATATGTGGTCATACATATATATATATATATATATATATTATGCATATATATATATACATGTATATATGTATACCCGGATACCGTTCCTCAAACCCTGATCTTCTTTTTTGGTGTGTGTAGTGCAAGTGCAGAATCTCAACGTCGGTGCGTGCCTTGTAGCACCTCCGAAGAGGCAGCACCACCACTAGCAGCACTAGCACGTCATCTGCCTCGAGCACCACAGACTCGTCGTCCACGTCCACTATCTCCCCGTCCACAGACTCTTCGTCCACACAAGGTGGGTTCTTTGCATTCTTTGTTGAGTGCCCTGGCACGGTCCCCCCCGCTCCCCTTAGATGCACTATTCGAAGTTTAGCCTCTTGAGCCTGAGCTTTTCTGGGCATGGGAGTGTTGATCTTCCCAACCATTTTCAAGTCCTGAATTTGCTTTTGGTCTGTGTAATTAGTGCCTTTTCAAAACAGAAATAGCGAGCAGGCACCGCCACTAAGCACTTCATCCGTGAGCAGACTTGTGTTTGCTTCCCCGAGTCGGACCGGCACAGGGTGCACCTGCCCGCGAATTACTGCAGGTTTGATGCTTCGGTCCGGTCTTCCACGTCCGATACGTCGTTTCGCTGAAGAAACTCCCGACACCTGCCTTCGAACAGTTGGAGTCTTGCAGCGCTTGTTGTCATGCCTGCTTTTGTCTCACTTGCCCTCTTCTCCGCTTGGCGCCCCGGTGGCCGCTGTGTCCACCGCTCACGCTGCGGCTTGTGCCTGTGATCCCTGTTTCGAACTTGGACGTATAGAGGGTACTATAGGGTATCCCGTTGTTAGCTCCCAACACCTCAGCATCAGCGTGCACGCTCCTGAAGAGGCACTACTCCGAGCACATCGTCTGCCGCGGGCACGGGCTCGTCGTCCACGACCCCCTCGTGCTGAGGATGAATTGGATAGAAGGCTTCATGGGATGGGTATACTTAGTAGCCCACCCTTTTCTTCGGTTGTGGGTTCCTTTATAACGTAACCAGCCCCAAAAAAGGTGCCCTTATTGCAGTATGGCTACTGGGCTACTAAGGGTAAAAGCGGTACGGGTATACAGAGTTGAGATACGTACAACCTCATGCCTGATACCTTGGGATGATCCTACAGCCTGGAGCGTTTTCAACACTCCTCCTTGGCACAGTCGACAGACCAGTGCCACACATTTGTACAGGCTGTGTAGATCGCTGCACCTGACCTTGTGCCTCTTGAACCTCAGGCCGGCCTCGCCTCTCGGCGGGCATCAGTGGCCTGCGCGGTAGGCGTCTCTGCAGTTGCGGCACATGGTCTTAGAGGTTAGGGGGGTATTACGTCTTAAACCCCAACAATTAGGGTCAAGGTGAACACAATCCCCACGGTGCGTGAGGTAGTACGGGCCCTGTGGCACTTCGTACTGCGTGTGGATTTGAATGCGCGGCATCGGCGGATCAGAGTTGGTAGGAGTGAGTAGGCGAAACGCAGGACTTGGATCGGTCTGTGTGGCGATCTCACGCACAAGCGGTGGTGGAGAAGAACGACGAGTCCTCGTACGGGATGAGGACGCACGCTCTGCAGGAACTTGGGCTGCCTGTGCTGAGACGGCCTCGTCAGTTAACGGGCTTGAGGACACTGCGCCTGCTACCGGGGCGGCTGCAGAAACGTCCTCAAGTCTCATGCCCTGCAGTTGTGCTGCCAGTTCGTCCTCAATGGCCCTCTGCATGCGTCTTAAACGCCGGGCTCTGCGAGACGACGCGTGGGCTCCAGCCCACCAGGCATCAACGCACTCCCACGCTCTCTTCAACCACTCCCACAACACAAGCAAGCTAAACACTGCCATGCCAACCACAACGTACAACTCAAGAGACCCGTCAAGCTGAAGTCCATAGGTCTCATCTCGCGCGCTCTCAGCAGGCTGGACATGCAACAGAGCTAACAATGCAAACAACGCGACTCGGTCAACTGCCACTGACGTGCCCGGCCTGACCTCTTGGTCGGCGTGGGTCGTCTCACCAACAGTGAAGTTTTGCATCCCCCAAAGCTGGACGAGCCCTGGGCAGAACACCAGCCGAAGTGCACCTGAATGAGTTTGCTCGCGGAGGAATTCCGCCCTCACACGTAGATGGCGAGTCCGCCATGACCCATGGCCATCTGAAATCGCAAGGGACGCTTGTGAGTCAACATGCAGAACCCTTTGCTCACCAATGTCGAAGCCAACCGTGTGAAGCAAGGCTTGAATTGATTCAAGAGCAACTGCACACTCAATCGATGCCATCAGCTCACTTTCTGCAGTTGACAACGTCACAAAGGCTTGTCTCGCAGAACGCCATGCAACAGGGCAACCAAACAGGCAAACGCACCAGCCACCATGCGATCGAACACCATCGGGCGCAAAGCTCGCGTCGCTATACCCTTCCAGACTCGTCTCATCGGCAACGAAGACAAGTGCCGCGGATTTGGTCCTTTGAAGGTACGCGAGCGTTCTGTCGGCCACCCTCAGTGCTCTTTCGGGGGCTTTGCATGACAAGCTTGCCAACAACGACGCAGTGTAAGCAAGATCGGGTCGGGTCCTCTGAGACAACCACAGAAGTTCACCAGTCACCTGTTGCGCTTGGTGGACGGCCTCCCCATCGGGGGGCGTGGTGTCTCCCTCGCCGACTTCAAACGATGCAAGTTCTCGAGGACATGGGATCTTGCCTTTCACGTGGGCAGGTACGTTGTGCAACCTGAGGACTTCCTCTGCGTAGGACTGCTGCGACAGGACAAACCCTTTCTCAACAACAAGGATGTCTACACCCAAAAACTTGATCGGCTGCTCAGGGGTTGCGACCACAAGCGGTGTAGTGGCCCACTTATCTTGCAGCGCCTGTGCCAAGCTTCTGAGAACACCCTCTGGTCCACACAACAAAAAGTCGTCAACATAGACCAGCAGTGCACCTTCAACCTTACCATCCCTTACCCTAATGACTTTCCACCAGTTAGGGTCAAGAGTAGACTGCTCCAGCCTAAACTTGTCATCTTCAAACTCCCACTCCAACACGCGCAAGCAAGAGTCACGAAACTGTCCCCACAAACGCGGCGCTTCACGGAGGCCGTAGACAGCATGGGAAAGGATCCATAACTCATGCGCAGCTGCAAGCCCGAGCTTGATGAGTAAGCGGGGCGGAGTCAAGGCAAAGATTGGGAAACCCTCAAGATCTGGTATCGGGGTCTTGAGGAACGCGCTGGTGATGTCTAAAACACCCAACAACCACCCAAAAAGGCTAGCTAAGGCAATCACAGCTCTCAGGCTCTCGGCCTGTGCTCCACCAGCATACACGTCCAGACCGGTGTCTGGAGCTGCGTTTCCGCAAGCAACCAAACGTGCCTTACGACGGAACAACGCTTGGGCGGGCACGGCCTCCTCTTTTGAGGGGCTTTTCACCTTAACCTGCGCGTGCTGCGATGAGCCTTTTGCCTCAGCTTGCGGAAGTGCCTTTGCAGTCACTGCGTCACGAACCGCTGCTTGTCCTTGGTCAGGCGGCTTCACAGTGAACACAAACTTTGAAGGCACTACTTGCAACCTGGGATTTTCTAGGTAGCCTGCCAACCTAGGATCTGAAGGGCGCAATCTCAACACAGCGTGCTCTATGGCCTTCACTTCCTTGTCTATGGCGGGAAACCATGGAGTAGGGTTAAGGGCGACTTCTGCGGGGTCTACAGTGTGTACAATCTGCAGGGGCGAGGTCAGGCTGCTTAGGTAGGACTCTATGTTCTTTGTGAAAGAGGGCTCTGTCTTACAGAGGTAGGCAGAAACAGGTCTTCCTTCACTCATGCTTCCCTCCTCCTGGGACAAGCCTAAACCCAACAAACCTAGGGGCCCACCCTCTACAACCTGAACAACCCTCAAACGGCAATCACTGTGGCCAGAGTTTGGCTCTGGCGCTTCACCCTCTTCTATAGGAACAAAGAGGTCCCAAGAGACTTGACCGTCCTGCTCATTTGAGCGGCTGGAGCAAGGCTCTGCAGGGTTCGCACTTGGAGCGGCATGGTGCTGGAGACGCCAGTTCACCTCAAACTCAACAGCTCCTTCTGTGACCGGAAAGACCTCCTTCCAACCTCCTCCCTTGGTGACAGGGCTGCAGACAGCAGAGTTCACGCTTGCACTCTGCGGGGCTTCAACGCGGCACTGTCTCTCAGCAGGAGAGGTTTGAAGATAGGCAGAGTCGGGAATAGGGAAACCTAAGTCTGCAAGACCGTCAAGGTCATCCCTGTTTGCTTTCCCTAAAGAATTTGCGGTGTAGCCTACCAACACAACACGGAGCCCTTGAAACGGCGTCACAGAGTGGTACCTCTTGGGATCTAGCTCGAAAACTTCTCCCTCTTCAAGACGGTGCACAACCCCATGTCTCACTTTGCCGTTTGGGTCTTCTTGCTGCGTGATAGGACCATTAACTACATCACCCTTACCTAATTCAACCCAAAGGTCCCCACCCTTGCGTGGCAGACACAGGGGAAGAACGAGGTGATTGTTGCTGTCAGTGTGAGGCAGCATCTGATGCGAGTTGGACAGATACACTGAGGTAAACGTGGCATCAGGGGCATAATGTGCAAGGAGACGGGCACACAACGACGCCAACCACGGCTTGGACCAAGTCGCACGCAAGGTTCCTACCATACCTGCATAACGGTACATGCCAGCTTTGTACTGCTCTTCAGGAAAGTCCTGGCATATCAACATCAACAGGTTTGTGGCGCTGTCAGGGTCAAAGTCTGCAAGCAAAGCTCTGCCTTTGGCCTCATACTCTTCCCACGTAGCTGCGGTGGGCTGCACAACACGCACGGCAGCTTCAGCAGGTGGAAGCAGTGCGCGGCCTGCCTCGCCAGGCGGCGGGTGTTTGCCAGTGAGACGGCGTCTTACTGGGGCACGCTCTGCTTCAAAGAGGTCTGGACACGGACCCGGGTCAACAGCTTTAGTTCTTACATGCATGGTCTGCGTGAACCCATTGCCCTTACCATCATCCCTGTAAACCAAATGCCCTTCATCTACACTAGGGGACAAACCAGCGTATCTCCCTGAAATCCAACTTTCTGCAATTTCACCCTTTGCAGCTGCGGCTGAGGAGTATGACTTGGTACGGACAAGACACTTTGCACCAAATGGGGCTGCGAGCTTAGTGGTCATACCCAACACTTCGGAACGTTGCTGGGCTGCAGCGGCACACATGGCCCATGGCCAGAGCTCAGGTGGAAATTCTGCTGCGCGAAGGTTTGTGCGACAGCGCGTTTTAAGCCATCTAATTGTGCGCTCAGCGGTGCCATTTTGTTGCGGTGCATCACCCTCAGTGGTGGTAACACGAATGGCTTGTCCGGCTAGCCATCTCCTGGCAGCTTTATTCACAAACTCTCGTGAGCGGTCAGTGTGCAAGCGAAGCAGCGGGAGATTTAGGGCTCGGAGGTACAAGTAAATGCCTTGTATGGCCTCAAGGACTGAAGGAGACTTGTTGTCAAACAGTGGGACACAGAACACCAACCTCTCAGACTCCACAGCCTCTTTGAGATCCGAGTGCTCACGCTCCCAATCCCCCTCCTCGTGTCCCGGCGCCTTAGGACTCTCATCATGCTCCTCCTCTTCTTCTTCTCCCCCAGCAGGTGGACGCTCGGCCTCACCTTTTGGTGGGCATGCATCCTCCCCTGGTTCTACTTCTTCACCTTCTTCATCGCCCTCTAAGAAGCGTTCCTCCTCCTCAGAAAGTGGTCCTACTCCACCTTCTACAACTTCAAGCTCATCCTTTGGATCCTCCTCTGAAAGGTCTACTTCTTCGAGAGGGTCTTTGCCAATGGGCATGCCATGCAAACGTGGGAACCGATAGGTGGCTGCAAGAAAATACTTGAACTTTCTAGGCGCCTTGGACCTACCTTCGGGATCAACGCCTGGCACACGCAAAGGCCCACAAACATCAGCTGAAAGAGTGTAATGGGCAGGGTGCACTACCCCAGTGTGGCGACGCCCAGTGCCTGCAGTGCGAACGCACACGGAGCAGTCCCTTCGGAACGGGGTATGGTTGTTGCGCACATGCTCACGCCACTCCTCCAGAGATGCCTTTGAAACCCTAACCATTCCAGTTCTTAATGGCGGCGACAATCACTCGAATGAAACCTGGAGCCCACTCTGCGAGGTCTGAGGACTTGCCCTTGTACGGCGGTTTACGCGGCAGACCCTCAAGGTTTTCCAACCTTTCAAGTGCGCTCAAGTCTCCATAGTTGGTGCCGATCGTGGTGGGTTTCTCTGTGCAGTGACCGAAATTGCCCTGGTTGAAGTTGATTTCCCAAAGTCCTGCTTCTTCAGCGTACGATCTCCAAAGACCCGTATGCCAAAAGCTAGGAACCTTCCCAAACAGCTCATGCGACTCAGGGAGAAAACGATCTGGCGGCATTGGTTGCTCCAACAGAAAGCCTATCTCCTGCCTGTGGTCCTTGATCGGCCTAGCCTTCCGGCCGGCAGTGGCGAGAGCATGCAGCCAAATTTGCCGACAAAACAAGGCCAAGTCATGGTCAACAAGGACGCGGTCGCGGGGGCACAAATTCGGCAAGCCATACAAGTGCTCTGGACTACGCACAGGCAAAGGTCCACCATCAGGTTTATGCCTCAACATGCTGAAGGTGCGACATGAAGGACCTCCCAACAGGTGTGAAAGCTTGCCATTCAACGCTCCCCACACAAGGATACGCCATGCAGGGTCCTTCAACACGTCCTGGTCTGCTGACCGTGTGATGTCAAGCTCAAGCAACGCAACATCACCCGACGCAAGAGTTGAGAACTGTGTGGGTCTACGAGGGCCTGCGTACAAATGCACAATCCACTCAGGAGCATTGAGAAGCGTTCTACGGGATCGACGGTTCAGGTGAGTGAACCCTTTCAGAAGTTCCCACCCCGAAACACCCTTCAAATCTTGGACCAACCCTTGCAACGAAGCCTGCGGCACATCAGCAAAGAAAGGGGCGGCCGACACCGCAAGGTGGGCAGAAGAAGTCGCACCAGTAGACACGTAGTCTTCCAAGTGGCCAAACCAACCCTTTGACATGGAGGTTTTCACAGCCCTGATGCGCGAAGCAGTTTCAGCGACGTTACACTCCAGGGTTTTGAGCTCCTCTGCCTTCCTTTCTTCCAACTTGCTGATCAACACAAGCGCTTCAGACTCAACAAGCTCAGGGCATCCACCTTTGACCTTTAGGCGAAACACTCGGCCCGAAGGAGCGACCAACCGACATCTCGACGCGGTCCAGTCTAGGCGATATCCCAGGTCCTGGATGACCGAACCTAGGGGAACAATGGTCTGACCAGCAGAAGCAGGGGCCATCAAGAGTGTGCCCGACGGAGAGATCCTCATGTCCGAAGTTGCGTTACCAGCCAGAGATACAACGACCGGTGCAGCATTGGCCCACTCCTCCTGATCAACTGCGACACGAAGCGCGTGAGTGGCTCCGCTGTCGACTAATGCCCGAAATTGGAGACCGTCGGCCACATCAGCCTCATCATCTGAGGGAGGTTCGATTGCCTTAAGGGAAATGGCTCGCGCACGAGGCTCCTCCTGGGATGAGGGCTTGTCTTCCAAGGCTGGGGTTTGTGCAGTCGCTGGAACGATCGGGGTAGCGGTTGACACAGCAACCGGGACAAGAGCAGAGGAGGATTGGGATGACTCAGCATTGGTAGCCGCGTACATCAGGCGCATGAAGGCTTCAAGCGTCTGTCTATCCCGGCCTGGGTCGGCACCCGGCGTTACTCCTCCTGTGCTCGGCTTACTGGGGACAGTTGCGTTAGCTCCCTGATCTTTCCCTTTGGGACTCCCAGCTCCAGCAACGGGGCACTCCTTCTGCCTATGAGCCTCCGAACCACACGCAAAACACTTCTTTGCACGTTCTGGCTTAGACAGGGATGACATGTCGTGGCTGAACTTGCACTTCTTACCCCGTTTGCACCCGGAACTGCCTAAGTAGAACCTGCACAGATTCTTGGCCTGCGACCCTCCACTTGGCGACGACGGTGCTGGCTGATTGGGACCACCCACAAACCTTACCTTTGGCACTTGACCCGGGGTTGTTGAGGACGACGCAATCGACTCCAGCTCAGCTAACAAGTGCTTATGAAACTCCAACACATTCGCTTCACTAGGTTGAGCGTCAATGTGCAACATCGAGCGTACAAGCTGAGTACGGAAGTGTGCGCTACCATCCTTCGCCAAAACCTGCTCAGTGAGTGAACACAGGCCCTTTGCGAGAACAGTGGCGTCTGGAGTCTTCATGTTGCATTCCGTGCACCGGGTGTGCCAACGAATCCATGCCCGAAGAGTGTGAAGGGCCACAACCGGATCTGAAGTAGGCGTAGGTTCCTGAAGATGTTTCAGGATGACCTGTCGCTCATGCCCTCCTCCAGGTTGGTATGTGACATGCAAACGGAACAGCAGCGCAGGAGCAGACTTGTTACACTTTCGAGAAATGATGTCAGCTTTCATCGCCTTGCTCAATGACTCCAAAAGCATCCCACACACTCGGGCATTAACGCGTGACCAACGCCCCGAAAGCAGCTCCTGAGGAACCACAGGCTCCACCCTCAACTTGTCGATGGGTGAGGCTGAGGCCCAGCGTGCATAGGCTTGGTCTACGGTTTGCATCACACCCTCCCACCACTCAGCAGCAGTATCCGAAACGTCCTCAACAATACCCTCCACATGCGTTAGCCAATCTTGGTACTCCAACGTGCCCTGCTCTGTCACTGCATCTGGAAGCGAGGGTAAGGAAACCGTTCCTGGCTTTACCTGTTCGGGGGTAGGGGAGTTTCCACCTGAGGACTGCTGCGGTTGATTCTGCAACGACTGCAACACATTAGCTTTGCGCTGACGCTGCAAAGGTCTGTTGATTTGCACTTGTGGGCTCAGTTTGCGGCCTACTCCCAGGTGGGGGGCTTTGGGACCTTGACCTCCCCAGCAATCCTGACAAGAGACCTCTGACACCCTGTGCTTCTACAGGCGGCGGCGGAGGTGGGTATGGGCTGCTACTTAGGGGTTGAGGAGCTGAAGGCGCCCGTGGAAGGCTTGTGCTTGCTGCTGCCATCGGGGCAGCTGGGGCCTCGGAACCAATCCCTTCAACAACCCTTGAACCTGAAAACCCACCACCAACACCCAACGCTTGCGCTTGGCGAGAGGCCTCGAGCTTCTCTGCCTGAGTCCTTTCCACCATGCCCCTACTCTCCTCCATCATTGCGCGCATTCCTGCCAACTGCCTTGCAACCTCAGCTTGGATGGCATCATGTGGGAGCGAGGACGAATCCCCTTGCGACTGAGGGCCTCGTGGATACAGCAACGGGGCAGTCTGTTCCATGGTTGCCATTCGCTGCACCTGAGCCTCAGTAAACAACGATGCTCCAACACTATCCATCCGGCCTGCCGAGTTCGGCGGCGGCTGATTCGGGCTTAGTGGCAACGCACGCCTTGGAGGCGACGGGACGGGCGATTGCACAAGTGGACTCGGCATCCATGCGGAATTTGCTGCACGGGCACTGGGCCTTGAAACCAATCCTGCATCCTCGTCAACCAACCCAATCCAAACGGTGCGGTCTGGGCTGACGAGGCCTGTTGGGATCCAGTTCCCAAGACTCCGGTCACTCCTTGCAGTTGTGACGCCCTGGGCGTCAGAAAACTCGGGGCTCCATCATGACGTCCTGCTGAATCTCTGTCATCTGCCCTGCCCACCTCAGCGTTTCCCAAAGTGGTTGCAGCCAAGACCGCATGAGAACCATCTGCAGCAACGTCTCTGGAATCCTGCTCCAACACACCTTCGCCGTTGCCTCCATCCACCACCTCTGTTCGGCCCAACCCATCGGTCGGCTGCAAAGGCGGAGCTGTGGAAGTCGTGGGTGGTGTCGTTGAGCCATGCGTCGTAGTTTGGAGGCCATCGCTACCCACGAGCTCTCCAGGCCCATGAGTCAGCGGTGAACCTCCGCCGGTTACATTCCGTGTACCGTTGAGCATGCTTGATGACATAGTCGAAGCCCCTGGCCCAGGCGTTGGGCTCATCACCTGTTGAACAGGTTGCCCTGTTGGCGGAGTTCGCACATTTTCCATGGCAAGGCTCAGCGACTTCAGAGTACAATCTACAAAGAAAGAACAAACAAAGACCAAACAAGAAGCCAACTTCTACTCTAGCAATCTGTGCACTACACACCTAGAGTTGTCTGAACTTACTCATGGCCCAAGAAGGTTTCTTTCGCAGCCTTCTTCTAGGAACCAAAATGTTACGGGTATACAGAGTTGAGATACGTACAACCTCATGCCTGATACCTTGGGATGATCCTACAGCCTGGAGCGTTTTCAACAAAAACCCTGTGCTGTACCCTATGTATTCCTGAGGTTCTGGGCAGCCTCCTAGAAGGCTTCGGCTTGAAGACTGAGGGGTGTGCATGGGGTTTATAGGGTTTAGGGTTTCAGGGGGCCGCTTTCGGACTTCGCCATCGCTCAGCACGGAATGCGAGGTCGGACTCATCGACGTCGGAGTCATCGACGTCGGAATCGTCGACGACGGATGCATCGACGTCTTCCGCGAGTCCTTCTTATTTGACCTCTGGAGGTTTCCTTTCCAACAAGGCCCACTTGCCCAAAACCCTAAATACGTAAAACCTTAACCCTGAACCCTAAACCTTACGCGAAACCCTACACCCTTACACCTGAAGAAGACCCAAATATCTACAAGTCCTGTAAGCCCTACTCACGCCGTACGCAGTCTTTTGCAAGGCCCCCCCCCCCCCGGAGAGTCCCGTGCTGGGCTTCCGGTTTCAGGATCTTGGGGTTGAGGGTTCTAGGGGTTCAAGGTTGAGGGCTACGGCTTGAAGGTGAAGTCATGCAGACCATTACGCTCCGTTCTCCGAACCCCTACACCTCGGGCATGAAAACCCCTTTTCGTCCCAAACTGCAGTCCCTGTTTCAGCTGGTGCTCTTTGTTTTGTTTTTTTTCTCTCTCTCTCTCTCTCTCTGTCTCTCTCTCTCTCTCTCTATCTCTTTCCCTCTCGCACTTTCGGAGTCATCCTCATAATCATTAGCACGGAGACTCAGAGTATCCGGGCCAGGCGGGTTGGCTCCTTGGGGCAGCCGGCTGCCTGGCCGTCGCGCCCGACGCGCGCTGAGGTGTACGAAGTGTGTCTGTACCTGTACCTACTTCTGTGACCCTAAACGCTATAATTGGTACAGTGTCTCATGAATGTTCACTGCGTGGGTCTGCCGTCAGGATCGTAGTGCGGAACGAAATCGTGGGCTTTTACCGTCAGCCTAGCTATAAGCCCTTAAACCTTACAAGCCCTCTTTAAACTCTCCAACCTACAGCCATTTAGTACTAGGGACCAGGGAAGCTGTCATTTTCTCACATAACTACACCCTGAACCCTTAAACCCGAAAAAAAAACATCCTTAAACCCTAAACCCCTGAACCCTAGACCCCTAAGCTCCTAGACCCTAAACCCTTCTGAGCACCCAAGCCCTAGATCCTAAACAACCATAAGCCCTCTAACCCTAAAACCCTAAAACCCTTAACCCTAAAACCCTAAACCCTAAACTTCATAAACCTTAAGACGGGAGTAAGGGCCAACCAATGAAGGTGTCGGGGTGTAGACTTGAGAGGGCAAGTGAAGGGTTCCAGTGTTAGGCTTTGGGGCTTAGGGTTTAGGATTCAGGGTCTAGGATTTAGGGTTTAGGGTCACCTGGTTTCGAGTATAACCCTAGGGTTATTGGGTGTTAGGGTTGTAGGGTTACAGCGTTATCAGGTTATCGGGTTAGAGGGCTATATGGGGCTACAGGGTTATAGGGTTCAGGGTTTAGGGTCATCTGCATACGTAATCAAAGAATGCCGAATGCGGCATTTGGATGCGCAGCCGGCCTTGCGCCGAAGCCGAGTCCTTTGTGCTCAAACGCTGGCTGCCATCCGCATGGTAGGTTTGTGCAGGGGCTGCCAGTTGTGGAAGCTTCCACCCCTGCAATCCCCTTAGGATTTAGGTTTAGGGCCCGAGAGAACAGGCTCTGGATAAGGCGAATCTTCCCATGTATTGGATTCAAGATCTTATGTAGCTACTTTCCAAGAAGGTTGTAAGGGCAAACCTAGTTGTTGTTGCAGTCTCACAACACTTTGCTTGTCTCGCTTGCTACTCAAGCAGCCTTCGCCCTATGCCCCTAAACCTTGGACCATGAACTGCAAAACCTAAACCCTGACCCGCACACCCTTGAGGTTTCGGATTTCCGGTGTGGGTTTTCTCTTCGACAGAATCGTAGGATTTCACGAGGCCTAGAGTTTCCATAGAATTTGTGCTTCATTCTTGCTTCATAAACCCCAAGGGAGGTCTGATTCTAAGCTTTAGGGGTTCAGGAGATTCGACTCCAGATGCTCAACCCTAGGTCATAGAAGAAAGGATTCGGTTTACAACCTCAGGACACACAGTTAGCAGGGCCTGAGTCCTATATCAATCTGCAGCCCACAACTCTAGATTCTAGATACCCCGCACCCGATATAGCAAAGACTTTCTGCAGCTGTGGCTGAGAGCTTTGAGCTTTTCCGCGTGGCCGCTTTAAAAAATAAGGGGTGCCTTGAGCCTCAAATTTGCCACGCACTACTGTGCAATGCCCAAGGGCCGTGGGCTGGCGGCGTAAGGATCTAGGGTTTGGGGTTTAGAATCTAAACCCTAAACCCTGAACCCTAAACCCTAAACCCTAAACCCTAAACCTTAAGTTTTGGGTTTAAGGTGCTTGGGCTGAGTCTTTTAGGAGAGCAGGGTCTGGGACCCCCGGTGCTTCCTTTGCCCTTCGACTCTGCAAGGGGTCAGAATCCCACATAGTTACATCTGCTACAGAGCACTAGGCAACTCTTTTGCCTTAAGCCGGATAAACCATACCTTCCCAAATCCTAGCTGCGGAACCCTAAGCCCTAGATCTTTCCTAAATCCTAGAAACAAATTTGGGGTTTAAGGGAAGCCTTCCCACAGTAGAAATTCTTGGAGGTCCTGCCGCTTAGCCCACCGGCACACGTTTCCGTGTTCTTTGCTTCGCACGCCATGGAGAAGATGCCATGCAGAAGGTTGCTCTTTGTGTCTTGAAGACAACTGCGAGTCTGGAAAATGTCAGTTGTCCACCTGCTCAACCATATTTTCCCCTTCATTGAGTCCCTAAGTGAGCCTGCTCAGGCTCACTCACTCAGTGAGTGAGTGAGTGAATGAATTGTGACTCTTGATGCGTATGCCCGATCAGAAAGCTTTGCAGGGCTGCCGCGGTTAGCCATTGCAGTCGCGCCAATCTTTAGTATTATGTGTTTGAGACATTGCCCGCAGCTTTGTTGAGAGGCTCACTCTGACATCCCAGCCATCACTCTGACATCCCAGGCACTGCCATGGTTGGTGCCGGCAAGAGCAAGGGTGGCAAAGGCAAAGGGCCCGGAGAGGCCCATGCCATGCAGTCAGGCTGGACCGCCTGGACCGCCTGGACCGCCTACGCCGCCTACGAGCAGAGCAAGGCTAAAGGGAAAGGGAAAGCTGATGCGGGCAAGGGCATGGGCAAGGGCATGGCCACAGGAACCAAAGGCAGCGCTGGCAAGGGCAAGGGCAAAGGCAAGGCGTTGGTCAAAGGGAAGGCCAAAGCTGATGCCGGACCTAGCAAGGGCAAAATCTCCATGAGCGGACAGCCGGCAAAAGGGAAAGGGAAACCCGCGACAAGCAGGGCGCTTGCAAAGGGACGAGGGAAGGGGAAGGGGGGAGGGAAGGCGACCATGCCACAAACAGGCGCCAGCCTGGGCAAGGGAGGCAAGCCTGCGTTGGCCAAAGGCAAAGGCAAAGGTCAAGGTGGGAGTTCAGGGCCATGGCCCAAGGCAAAAAGCCAGGGCAAGGGCCAAGGCACAGGGGAGTCGACCAAGCGCGTGCCGCGTCTGGCAGCAGAAATAGCTGGCGCCATAGGCGACCTGGTCGAGGGAAAATTCACGCAGGACGACTTTTGGGAGGTCTTCGAAAAGTTCTGCTGGGACAAAGGCTACCCCAGTTCCGGCTTTGCCACAGTGTGGTTCTTGCTGCAGCGCTGGCGGGTCATTGGCCGAGCCAACAAGGACAAGTTCAAGCTCCTAAGCCTCACCCAGTCCAACTTCAAGACGCGCACCCCTACAGATGCTCTGGGAGCGTTAGACGGTACCAGGCCGAAACTGCTCGCCCAAGAGCTCGCCAGCCCGGTCCCGGAGTATCCACTTCCACAAAAGCTGCAAGCCCTCACCGCCATGGATGTCTACAAGATGCAGGCGGCCGTGCTCAAGCTTCTTGAGTCTGAAGGCATGAAGCCAGGTCAGATGGAAAGATGTTATCAGGACCCGGGTGCATCAGCTTGCAATTTTTTGTCCACGCCCGCAGCATCCCGCAGCCACAACTAGCCAACAGTCATCAGCTCTCTCTCTCGCTCTCCCACACGCCCCCTCCCTCTAATTTTGAGCACGGGCATGCTGATATCCCTTGAGCTTGGAGCCTGAAAGGGGCCTATTCTGAAGGGCTTCACAAGACACACTGATGCGGTATCACTGCAAGCACTGCAAGCACGAAGTCTGCAGAGTGGCAGGATCGGTTTTGGGTTTTAAAGGGTTTAGGGGCCCAACTACACTGAAATAACGACTTGCACACCCTTTTGGCTGGAAAGCAGGACTATCAGCACTTCCTTCTCTATGTGGAGGAGCCCGATATGTGCAATAAGCCCCAAGACTGAGCACCTGAAGGGTACTACGGTACTAGTTTTGTTAAAAAGGGAGTTTAGGGCTATTAGGACTTCCGGGGTGCGCCCGCGACTTCGGACTGCGTTGTTGACCAGGCCTGTTTCAACAGTGTTGCTGCTGGCCCAGGGGTGCCCTAAACCCAAAACCCTAAACCCTAAACCCTAAAAGACCTGAATCCTTGGCCCCATCCGAATGTATCACAGCCTTGCGGGAGTCCACTGAAAGGAGGCAGAGTCAACATGTCCCTGCCCATGAATAGAGGTATGCAAATTTCATTCACTGAGACTACATCCACAACAGTTGAAGCAGACTATCTTGATCATTGGCAAGGTTTTGAAGATTTAGGGCTTTAGGGGCTTGAGGGTTTAGGGCTTGCAGTTTTGGGCTTGGGGAGCTTAAGAGGGATTCTACATGCTTCCCTGGGAATTCGAATTGCCTGTACTCGTCGTAGAAATCCCTCGAATGGAGCACAAGTACTGTTAGTTCTAAGGTGAGTACATCTTCTTGTAACGCACAGGGCTGCGTTTATAGAAGGACGCAAGAACAAGGCAACCAGCGTTGGAAACCCTAAGCCCTATAAACCCTACACCCTAAACCCTAAACCCTAAACCCTAAACCCTAAACCCTAGACCCTAAGAAAAAGCTTGGAGGAGCTTCAGATGAAGTTTGACATTGCCCTCTACGACTTGGAGGTGGAGGAGCGCCTGGAGTACGTGAAGAATGTGGGCCTCTACAAGAAGCTCGCCAAGTCGGAGCCTGTAAAGGCCTACGGTTTAGGGTCTGGGTTGAGGGTTTAGGGTTTAGGGATTAGGGATTAGGGTTTAGGGGCCGTGGGGGTTTACAAAACCTTGCCATGGAAGCCCTTTGGGGTGACGTGGCGGTAAGGTGCCAGGGGTTGGGGCTGGGGGCCGCAAGGGGGGGGAGGTTTGAGAGACCTCATGGGAGATGGGAGATGGCTTCTTTCGAGTTCGTTTGATATGGAATCCCATATGAGTCCTCGTTTCGGCGTGGGTCTCGGTTCCTATCATACGTAATTCCATGTTATAAACCCTAAACCCTAAATCCTCAACTCTGCCCCTCCCAACCTTCGATCCCGAACCACGTCCGGGAACCTACAATAATCTTTGTTTCTGTGCCGCAGCGCATTACCCATGACTGCAAGTGTCCAAGAAATCCAAAAGAATCAGATGGTGAGTTCTAAATTCGGGTCCCTTGTTGGGCACTTAAATCAGAGGGGCCTTATAATAAGGACCCCAAAGGGGACGATAATTTAGAGATATCAAAATAAGCTCCCTGCAGCATTCCCCAAAACAGTCAGTGCTTGCACTATGGGGTTCCTGCGCTGGGAGGATGGAAATGAGATGGCGTGCCTGCACGTGTGCACGCACGGGGCCTCGAAGTCGATGACTTTCTCGGTGTTTCCTGCGTCGTGCGCTCCGGAGAGCGTACAGACACTGAAGGGCATCCAAATCATCGCAGGTAGAAGGGTCTGCCCATCTCAGCAGGTGCCAAATCGCGCTCTGCCATGGGTTTCATGCTTCTTATCGGTCCCGTGCACATTTTCAGGCCTGCGTCCCTCCGTATCGCGAAAATTGCAGGGACACACTTTCCTGCAATTTTGGGCTGTTGGATGGCCCTCCAAAACCCTAATTAAACCCGAAACCCTTTATAACCCCAAACCCGGGTTATTAGTGCATCCGTTCTCGGCGTAATTGCATGTCGCCGTGCTGCAAATGACGCTCCGCGTGAAGTGCAAGACTGTCGTCGTTTTTGGCTCCTCGAAGTGCTGTTTGGGGGTTTGTAGGGTTTAGGGTTGAGGGTTTAGGGTTACACCAATGTGGGGTCTACATGGTAGAACTTTTCTTAGTTAGTCGTGCTGGGCCTGAGGATGAGTACTGGATGTTCCTTTGACCCTACTGGACCAGGAGAGAAGGATAGAAGTTGCCAGCCTGGGTTTTGGGTTTCAGCCCTGACCCCTAAACCCTAAACCCTAAACCCTAAACCCTAAACACTAAACCCTAAACCCTAAACCCTCAGAAAACGTGAGCCTCTAAGGATCTGGGTGCCTGGCCTGGCTGAGAAGAGGCCGAGCATACTGCGCGGAGACACCGTCTTGCTGACCTGCCAGCAGCTTGCCTACACCCCCCCCGAACTTAAAGCCAGAAGCTTCAGCATAGTGCGTGTAGAGGACCTAGAGCCTAAATCCCAGCACCCCAAAGCCTCATGTTCTGATTTGAGGGGTTTCCCCAAACTAAGGCAATTGCACATTTTGGGGTCCTTACACAGGGGTTATACTCTGTTTGGGGTATACGGTATCAGGGATACCACGAATAAGCGTTCCGCTACCTTGATATTTCTTAGTCGGGAGCTAAGGAATAGGTATATCGAGTCCGAATGAGGAACCCTAAGCCCAAAACAGCCAGCAAGGTGTGTGGTTTCAGAGTGACGGCCGCAGGGTTCAGGTTGTGTGGCCTTTTCTGAAATGCTAGGTGCCGCCTGTTTCTCTAGCAGTTCTTTCCTTTCGCTATCTGAGGCAGGGGAAGTTCCGCGGGTATGTGCACGAGCTTCGCCTGGACCAAATCCAGGTCTCCTTTCACGAGAGGTTTGCTAACAAGCCGCCATTCAAAATCCATTTCAGCTTCAACAGGACCAGCCAGCTTGTCTGCCAGAGCATTTGATCAGGTAGGCATTCATACTACTTCGGTCAGGGAGTAGCAGGACTTGTGTTTTTTTAAAGGGGGCGATCGACTTGAGAAGTCTTCACCCGATGACAAGTCTGTCATTTAAGTTTGGGATGTTTTGGTGTCCTGCAATCCTCCTAGAGACTGCTCGAACCTTACTGCACTACAGACTAACTTAGGTTAAAGCACTTGTTCGACACTGAAGGCCCAAGATATAACTCCACCTGTAAGCCCTAAACTCTGAGTGGGGTTTGACGACCGTCATGCCTGGTTTATGATTTAGGCCATGGCGGGGGGGGGGGGTTCTTTTACAGAGGGTCCTTTTTGTGTCTGATTGTTTGAAGTATTCCGGGTATACACGGTATCTGCTACACGTGCATGCGCTACAGCGAGTTCGAAACATGTGCTGCGATCTGTCGAAGTTTGCTCACCTTTTTTGAGGACACCTTTGCGGAGCATGCACAGGGCTGTGGATGATCTTCACTTTCCTGTGGACGCCACGACGCACATCGTCAGGCCTGTAGGTATTAAACCCGTTGGGGTCGTGAGCTTGGGCTGCCCTGTGAGACGAATATACAGAAACCTGGACCCGATAGCTGTACATGCGCGTAGTCTCGACCCTGATGACGACGATGATGCAGGACCATTCGAACTTGTGAGGTTGTGGTAGTCGCATCTAGCTCTACCCCGCAATTCCCCCGGAGTCAAAGATCAAGATGGCGGGCATTCTGAGGGTCCCCCAAAAAAAGCGTCAGGCCAGTGCCTCGCGCCCACCCGCAACTCAACCCGAAGCAGACGGAGTTCTTCGCGGCCGTGACGGCGGGAGCGGGGTCAGGCACGGGGTTGGGGCTTTGTAACCCTAAACCCTAAACCCTAATTAAACCCTAAACCCTAAACCGTTTAAGTTTCAGGGCGGGAGTTCATTCGCGCCTGGATGCTCGGGCTTTGGGATTTCTGTTTAGGGTTTGGAGTGCGGGCTGCCCTACGCAGTCCTTGGCGGGAAGAGCTTAAGGGTTCATAGGCCATGTACCTTATTGTTATAGACTTGGGGCCGACAGTCCCTCCATATTCCCTGTTTAGGTACATGGACCCCAAGGGATAGGTGCTCTAGCAGGACATCACGCGAGCAGGAATTGAAAGCTGCACCAGACGCCCCATTTTCGTGTTTTGATTCATCTAGTCATCTAGTCCATTTAGTCAGGCGTGGGGTGGAGCTTTGGGATGTTGCGATTTAGGGTGTAGGATCTATAGGTTGTAAAGCTCGAAGCAAGAAGCAAATGTACACCCTTCAAGCCACACAGAAGTTTCTTTAGGGCCTTGGCCATGCTATCATGCCACCCCTGTTTTGTTTATATGCTCTCTGGATTTGCCCTGGAAAGCCGGTTTTCTCTTTTGCACCACCCCGAAAAGGAGAAACCTCGAGCTCGTTACCCTGAACTTCCCCTATGGGGTAGCCGAAGCTCGAAAGCTCGAAGCTCGAATGTGGTTGAGGGATTAAGGTTTAGACGGTGTGGCAGGTTCTCCACTATTTCTGTGGGGGCCGCCAGGGACGGGCAAGACGACAACCTTGACACTCGGCTTTCATGTTTGTGATTTACGTTGAGGTTTGGGGTTCACGGTTTAGGGTTTAGGGATGAGGCCTACTAGGGAAGATGCCAGAATGAGGATCCCAGGCTTGGTTGACGCTGTCTCTGTTGGAGCCTTACAGAAGCTATGGCTATGGCGGTTTATGTCGGAGCGTGGTGCTGTTTACTGAATATATATATATATATATATATATATATGGTCAGCCCCCCCCCCCATGATCCACACCTATGGTTTTCCTGTCTTCGTCTTTGTCTGATTTTCTGTTTTTTCACCGGAAAAATGCAGTAAAAACTGCACTGGAATACAAAAAGCTCTATTATATTATCCTCTATAAAAACACTAGTGTTTTTATGTGCATTTTGCTTCTGAAACTTGTGTTTTGCGGCTCTATAAAATTTTAGGAGGAAAGCCATTTAGAAGCTTAAGGCTTTTCAGGGTTTTAGGTTTTAGGGATTTGTAAAAATTTAGATGATCTGTGGAAGGCACCGGGGCTTCCCCAGACCATTTGCAATTTTAAAGATCCTTAAAAGGGGCAGCCCTTTTCAAATTTGAAGGGCTTTAAGGTATTTAAAGCCTTTCAAGATTTTCAAGATTTAAAGGATCTTAAGAGGCTTTAAAGCCCTTAACAACCTCGAAACGTTTATCCCTTAAAAGTCTAAAATTCTTTAAAATCTAAAACGGGCAGCCGTTTAAAATTAAGGAACTTACGGATTTTAGAAATGAACATCCTAAAATCTTTAAACTTTAAAAGGACAGCCATTTAATTACAACTGTAAGAATTTCAGGGTTTTACGGATTTTAAAACACCTATATTGTCTGGGGAAGGCACCGGGGCTTCTCCAGACCATTGGCAACTTCAACACTCTCTAAAATCCGCAAAGGGCAGCCACTTAAATACGTAAGCAATTTAAGGTCTTTAACAGGCTTAAACGGCTTAAAACCTTCATAATATTGAGAATGCTTAAACAGAAGCTTAAAGATTTTTATGAGATTTCAAGGGTTTTTAATGTTTAGGTGGGTCTGGGGAAGCCCAGGTGCCTTCCCCAGATCATGTAAACTTGCAAAAACCCTCAAACCCCTTAACCCTAAAATCCAACCCCGAAACCCTTAGCTCTAAACCCTAAACACTCAGCACCAGACCCTAAACACTAACCCAAAGACTTAACACTAAGCCCTTAGCACAAACCCCAAGCACTTAACATGAAACCCTAAACACTTAAGCACTAGACCCTAAACACGAAACCCTAAACACTCAAACACTACACCCTAAAAGCTAAACCCTGAACATTACACACTAAACCCTACACACTAAACCCTGAACACTAGTAAACATCCTTAAAACCCTAAATCCAAAAAACCAAACCCGAAACCCTTAACACTAAACCCTAAACACTCAGCACCAGACCCTAAACACTAACCCTAAAAACTTAACACTAGGCCCACAAACCCCAAACACTTGACACGAAACCCTAAACACTTAAGCACTACTAAACCCTAAACACTCAGCACCAGACCCTAAACACTAACCCTAAAAACTTAATACTAAGCCCTTAGCACAAACCCCAAACACTTAACAGGAAACCCTAAACGCCTAAGCACCCCTAAAAACAAAACCCTAAACATTACACACTAAACCCTACACACTAAACCCTTAACCCAAAAAAAGCCGAAACCCTAGCACTGAACCCTAAGCAGCAGCGTAAACACTAACCCTAAAAGCTTAACACTACGCCCTTAGCACGAAACCCAAACACTGAACACAAAACCCTAAACACTTAAGCACTAAACCCTTACTAAACACTAAACCCTAAACACTTAAACACTACACCCTACAAACTAAACCCTAGCCATTACACACTAAACCCTACACACTAAACCCTAAAGCCTAAACAGAAGGACTTTTTAAGTTGTCAATGGTCTGGGGCAGCCCCGGTGCCTTCCCCAGATCATTTAAATTTGTAAAAACCCTTAAAACCCTTAACCTAAAACCCAAACCCGAAACCCTCAACACTAAACCCTAAACACTAACCCTAAAAACTTAACACTAAGCCCTTAGCACAAACCCCAAACACTTAGCACGAAACCCTAAACACTTAAGCACTTAACCCAACAACTAAACCTTAAACATTTCAAACTAAACCCTAAACATTAGACACTAGACCCTAAACCCTAAAAAGTAAACCCCAAGGCCAGAACCTCGAGCCCTACTAAATCTAAACCTGAAGCCAAAAACCCGTCGGGGTTTCAGATGCTTACTGTTTGGATTTCAGAGTTTAGGGTTTCATTTGGGTTTTAGCCGAGCCGCTTGACCCTAAACCCTAAAACCTAAACTTAAAACACAACCCTAAACACAAAACACTAAACCCTGAAACCTACACACTAAACCCTAAACACTAGATTGCCAGAAAAAATCTGGAGTACCCGGGCCCCGGACTCCAGACTCCAGATTTCCAGAAAAAATCTGGAGTACCCGGGCCCCGGACTCCAGACTCCAGATTTCCAGAAAAAATCTGGAGTACCCGGGCCCCGGACTCCAGACTCCAGATTTCCAGAAAAAATCTGGAGTACCCGGGCCCCGGACTCCAGACTCCAGATTTCCAGAAAAAATCTGGAGTACCCGGGCCCCGGACTCCAGACTCCAGATTTCCAGAAAAAATCTGGAGTACCCGGGCCCCGGACTCCAGACTCCAGATTTCCAGAAAAAATCTGGAGTACTCGCGGCCCCAGACTCCAGATTACAGACTCCAGAATCTGGAGTCCAGAGTCCAGGTACTCCAGATTTTTTTGGAAATCTGGAGTCTGGAGTCTGGAGGTACTCCAGATTTTTTCTGGAAATCTGGAGTCTGGAGTCTGGGGGTACGGAAATCTGGAGTCCGGAGTCTGGGGTACTCCAGATTTTTTCTGGAAATCTGGAGTCTGGAGTCCGGGGCCCGGGTACTCCAGATTTTTTCTGGAAATCTGGAGTCTGGAGCCCCCCCCCTCCCAAAACCCCCTTCCCGAGGCCAAATGTGTGGATCATGGGTGGGGGGCGAGCATATATATGTATATATTGTGGGCTTCTATCACCTCAAGACCCCAGAAGCTGACCTAAACGGTTCAATACAGCTCCATGTAACAAGGACATCTGACTTCGATCACCCCCCACCCCAGAAGCTAACCAATGTGGCACTTCCAAAAATTGATCATGCTATATCATGGTCACCTTGGCGAGGCAGTCGGAGAGGGGACAACAGAATAAGGACTTAGAGAGTCTACAACCCCAGCAGCAAACCAATAAAGCATGCAGCGACATACCCTAAGCTCTGTGACATATACAGAGATCCAACCTGCAAAGCTGAATCCTCAAGTTCCGATTCGACCAAAGATGCAAATAACCCCTCTAAACCTTAAACCCGAAAAGTCAGGTTCCTGCGTGCTGAGCTGGAGGTAGTTTGGTTCCTCGAATATCTAGACATATCTTGATCGTCGACTGAGGTGTTTTTGGAGGGGATACTGGTTGGTATGCGGCTGTAATCAACTACATCAGGTTTCCAGATGACTGAAAGGAGTTGTGACGGGGGGAGAGGGGTTCAACTGCCAGTGGAGAGATACCCGTGTGCTCTCCCTAAACCCTAAACCCTACACCCTAATAAAGCCCTAAACCCTGAACCCTAAACCCTAAACCCTAATAACGCCCTAAACCCCGAAAATGTCGTGGGAGGTGGTGGGCTTGCTGTCTGGTTCCCTAAGGGTCCGTGCGCCTGATTGTTTTAGACTTCGGGTTCAGGATTTAGGGTTTAGGGTTTAGGGTTTAGGATTTAGGGTTTGGGGTCTGGGGTTTGGGGTTTTGGGGTTTAGTGGGGTCTTTACAGGGTGGACGTTGAAGGTTTGAGTTGGTTCACGCCTATGCCAGGACCCACACAATCCACACGGTCTTCCAGAGCCAGAAGCACGCGAAGATCCTGGTGGGACTTTACCATCGGGCTTATTCTACGGTCGGAGTAGTTGCTAATAGTATTCCCTCATGGTCCCTTTATCATTGTACGATGATAACATTTAACAACGAAACCCTATTCTAATTACAAGGCCCCTATAGGAAGGAGACATGTAAGTAGTTTGATAGGGATGGGTGTGACAGTGACAGGTTTTCAGGGCATATATCTCGGCTGGACACATCCTCCAGCCCTCCATGCCGCTAATCCTTATCTGTACTCGGCCAAGGCCTTGAAATTCGCCTTAGAACTCAGAGTGCCCTGTCTACTCTTTCCTGATTTCACTCATCGCTCTAATCTACCACATAGTTGCTCAGATTTTGTTTGCTAAACCCTAAACCCTAAACCCTAAACCCTAAACCCTAAACCCACGGTTTTATGTATTCGCTTTCGCTGGATTAGACTGCCTTTGCCCTGCGTAGGTCTCGGCCCCCTCGAATCCCGCCTCCGACCTGCTGTGCTCTCGCCTTGCCGGCTTCTTGACGCTTCAAGGGTTTAGGGTTTAGGGTGTATGACTAAAGATACCAACCTAGAGGGCTCTAAAATGCCAACCTTAAACCTATACCCCCAAAGCCCTAAAACTTGCACCCTCAGTTTGGAGGCTTGGGGGGAAGCCTTTGAAACCGTTTAGATACAGAAATCGTTTAGATATAGTTCCCTCAGTATGTATACTCCTAACTAACAAGTGACTTTGGGGGCCAAGTAGAGAAAACGTTATTAGGGCCTTTGTAGACAGGGGGAGGAAGGGGGGAGGGGGGAGGTTCCAGGAAGAGAGGCGTTTTGCTGTGATGACACCATGACCGGACAGGCTACGATACCTCTTTCCCATCATGGCATGTCATGGCTTTCTTGTGGACACTTGAGAAAACGGATCCAAGCTTGCAGCTTGCATGATTCACTTGCTACCTTTATAATCGATCGCGTGGCGCAAAAAGGTTCTCGTTTGGAGTGTTGGGGGTTTGGGGGTTGCGGTGCTCATCGGAAATCGTTGCTTCAGCAAGTGCAAGCGTTTGCAATCGTTTGCGAGCATCGTGCGGCGTCTGTAGTTGCGGAAGCTCACATCTTGGCATTGTTTTTGCGTCGTTGCCGTTGCGCGTCAAGATGTATGAGTCACGATCCTTGTAATGTCTTCGTGTCAAAAGACCCTAAACCCTAAACCCTAACCCTTTCAGGTGGGGCATGTCGGAGCCGATCTTAGTCGCGTAACGTGTCGTCAGCGCAAGCTGCGCAGTGACACTCCGCGCTGCAGGATGAATATCAGGTTTCTTTGCTTTCAGTGATGTTAGGGTTATAGGTTTGTTTTTCATGTGCCCTTCGTAAACCAAACAAGCTTCCCTCACTGCGTCAGAAGACGAGTGTTGGCAGCATTCAGGATAAAAGGGGGTTATTCTAGGATGATCTGGCGCGAGGCCAACAAAATAGTGTGCAAACCATCCCAGCACTATGAAGAAGTTGAAGAAGCACAGGGCGAACCGTCCAGACAGAATCAGGTCTGGGTGTGCCCAAAAGCAGCATGCTACGTTTGGTGGCTGTGCGCTTCGTCTGATCTCATTCTTCTCAGTGCTCCCTGAGGGTGGGGCTGTTCTCGGCTAGCATTACAAGGGCTTATGGAAGCTTCCATGGTGTTCAAGGTTCGACGGTGACGGTAATCTTGGGTTGGGCATATGTTCTGCGCAGATGGGTTGATTGCTCGGAACATTCAGATGTATAGAACCATTAGCAATCTCATGTAATTTGGACATTCTTGTGCATCAATTCTCATGGGTGGAAGGTCGCAACTGTTGATGAGCCTTTCTTCCTGAACCTGGAGACCCCAAGAGAAGTGCTTCCCAAACCTAAGTAACAGGCGCGGAAGGTTTGCAGCCACAAGCCTGTACTTCTGTTATCTTTCAAGCGAACTACCTTACCACTCTATCTCAAAGGCCCGCAGCCATACTCGCCGACCTAAAGATGGAAAGCCGAGCAGACCTTTCCTTCTGTTGTGCTCGAAAGTGACACATGCAGAACAGACGCACATCCTTGAATACGTTGCGTTTTCAGTGGTTCTGTGTTCCTTTACTTGACCGAGCTTCAAATGAACGGCAAAGGGTAGTTCCTCAGGTCTGTCATAATACCGGAAGTAGCATGTAGATCATGCATCATGTTAGCTCATTGCAGCTGTGCCGGGTTGATCCTAGACGTCCACACAAGACTTGAGAAGACTTGCAAAAACAACCTACTCTGAGAACCTATCTACAGGGTTTGCAATTGTCTAGGACCAGCCGGACAACTTTTGTTCTTGACGGCGGATGGAAGCATCTTCAACACTTTCTGCCAGGACTTTCAAGCCAGAACATTTGAACCAGTCATTCCAAAGCCCTTACAGTAACTCCAAGGCCTACAATGGCCTGAAACTCCTAAAGAGCCAAAAAGAGACAAGGATGCGAGACTACAGGGAGATACCGGAGACCGTGCAGCCCTTCACGCGCACAGACACCGAATCTTGACATAGCGTTTTTGGGGGTTCTGGCGGCTTAAAAAGCTTGAGTGATCCGATAACTCCTAAACCCGAAGCCTACGTAAGGCGTAAACCCCAAGACCAAATCCAAAACCCTTAGCCTAACTGAGTGTTTACGTGGGGATGGGAAATTTGTTTCTATGGCTGCATACCTACAGTACCCCTAAATTGTTGCAGCTTTTCCCCGTCGGTTGTGCAAATACCCTCTGTTTTTACCTTCGAGGGGTTCTGATAGGCCCTCGCAGGGCATGTAGGGCCGGACGGGCGACAGGCTTTCACGAAATAGACAAACCCCTGAATCACAAGCACGAATTCGCAAGAAAAATCCATAAACTCGCCCTGGGAATACCTCATACAGCGTCATACCCCCTCAACCCTAAACCTTAAATCCTTAAACCCTGTTTGCTGTTAGAACCCTATTTTGGGGAGAGGGGGGTCGGAGAGGAGGCTGGTCTAACCGGAGAATCCATCGGTCCCCTATGTTCGTGTTACAGGACTCAACGAACCTCTGAATGAGCTACAGTTCATTGGGACCCACTGCTCCATACTCAGGGTGACCCAAGACTGCAGTGACTCCTTGGCAAACCCTAAGCACCAAACTCCTAAACCCTGAACCTTGAACCCTAAACCCTGAAGCCTGAACCCTAAACCCTGGCGCTTTTGTGCCAAGGCCGGCTACTTCGTGATACCAAGTGTCGAGGAGACCGATTTCAATACGTAGAATCCGCTTCGGGAAGTGGCTTTGGCAGGGTTTGGGGTTGAAACCATATGGGTATTTTCCAAAAAGGGTGCCCCTATGTTCGGGAACTTGGGATGTCGGTTTAGGGTCCACCTGGAACCTTCCGATGGCGCCCGACAGGAGCTCCAAGGTTTTCAGATCGTTGTCTGCACCTGCACAACTGCCTCCTACATCCGCAGCCGCCTGAAACAAGGTGGGCTTGCATTTGGGGGCTCAGGCGCTCGAAGCCGTATGAGCTCTTCGAGTCGTACGAAGACTTGTAGTGATAATGACCTGGTAGGGCTAGGAAGCGGAGAGCAGTTTCGTTTGACGGGTTTAGGGGCCAGAGGTTTTCTGAGAGCTTTCAGGGCTTTCGGGCTTGGAGGGCCGCTTCGTGTTTAGGGGGTTCAGGGTTGGCACCTTCAGCAAGAGATGTCAGAGATCCCCATGAAAACTGTTAGTCAGAGCAAGTACACGTTGTAAGGGCTGACAAGGGAAAGTATCTTGTCGACCCAAAAGAGTGACAACCTAAAGCTTCACGTATTGATCTATCTTCGGGTCTCGTTTTTGATGTGTGGCTCTCGTGTGGTCCCCTAGTCTCCGGTTCTCCGGCTCAGTGGTCTCCTCCCAAATCCCTAAACTTTGGTTTTGGGGTTTAGGGTTTAGGGTTTAGGGTTTAGGGATGCACTGTAGGCCAAAAGGGATGGTTCACGCACATCTTCGTCGACGAGGCGGCGCAAAGCGTGGAAGCAGAGGCCCTGGTGCCCATCACGTACTTCGGCTGCAGGAGCATTTTTAGGGTTTGGGGTTTTGGGTGTCATAGTTTATTGGGTTTAGGGTTTAGGGTTTAGGGTCTAGCGTTTAGGGTTTAGGGTTTAGGGTTTAGGGTCTACGGTTTGCAGGGCGCTGCGAGGGTTTTTGCAGGTTCCTGAGCTTCCGCTGTGGCTTTCCAGCGTCTCATAGGGCTCAGGGGTTGGCAGAGCTCCGTCATGCGACCAAGGGCTGTGTTCTGAGGGCTTTTTAGGGTTCAGGGTTTTAGGCGTAGGGCTTTTCAGGGTTTAGGGGTTTTAGTGTTTAGGGGTTTTGAGTTTTGAGGATTTGGGGTTTACTGGCTTGAGGGTTTAGGATTTTAGGGCTTGGGGTTTTAACATGCAATGGTTGTGGTGCGTGGCAGGTTGCGCAAGGGGCCACAGACCATGGTCTGTCTGGCTGGGGACTTCAAGCAGCTTGGTCCGGTGATCCGCTCGCCCGTCGCCATCGAATATGGCCTGCAGACATCGCTGATGGTGCCTCTGCTGTGTGCTGCGGGTTGAGAGGTTTTCTGGTAGGAGTTTCACGAGGGCTGGGAGGTCCATTTGTGTCACCCTTGTGGGCTGCCAACTGCGCAGGAACGCTTGGTGAACAAGATCACAGTCGACCATTCCCGGGTGTTTCCCCTTCTGGACACGTACCGTGCGCATCCATCCATCTTGTGTCTCTACAACAAGCTGGTGTACGCGAACGTGTTGAACTGCCGCTGTGGGCAGGCTCCTCGGCGGAAACTTCGTATACACTATTCTCTGACATCTTGTTCTAAACCCGTCTCGGTTCCCAGATGTAGGGCCTCCAACATGACATCTGAGTTTTGTCAAGCTATACCAACTCGTTTCCACTGCTCCCTCTTTGTACATCCTGCTTACTTCCCTTGCAACTTCCAGTTCTAGGCGCCTATTTGCGCCCTAAGCCTTAAACCCTAAACCCTTTGCAGACAAGGAGAGCTATTGCATGACGACATGGCCGGAGTGCCCCGTATCCGGCAAGAGTCGCCATCCATTGATCTTCCATCACTGCAATGGCCACTTGGTAGCCCAGTCGTACCCTTTACCCTCTTTTTGGCTATGGGTTCCGGTATAAAGTAGCCAGCCCAAAAGGTGCCCTTATTACAGTATGGTTACTGGGCTCCCAAGGCCAAGAAAGCCGCCAGAGGAACTCGCCATCCTGGGAAAATGTGCAGGAAGGCAGGCCTGGTTGCAACTCTTAGCGTTCGTGTAGGTATGTTGCTTAGACATAGCATGGCGACACTTGCAGGCAGCATCGTGAAGCAGTACCTCATGAAGCTGATGGAGCATGGCGTCAAGCAGGAGGACATTGGTATCATCTCTCCGTATCACAAGCAGTGCACGAGATTGCGGTACATCTGTCAAGGCCAGGGGTTCTGAGTACTGTGCAAGGTTCGTTGAAATGGCAGAGGCCGTTAACCCTGAACCACAACCCCTAAACCCCAATAAACCCTAAATGGGGGTCGTGGGGGGGGGGGGGGGGGTGTAGGACCTTGGAGTTGATGGTCGGCAGACGTACCAGCACAGTTCCGGGCACTTGCTTAAAGTTGTGGCCTGCATGCATGTGCAACGGGCAAGGACCGTCTGGCTTTCTTCACTTGCCCAAGATGGCATTTAGGATTCGTGCTTACGTGTACGTTCGTCTGCGCTCAGTAGTACATCGTATACAGTGCGTTGTAGAATGTGCATACCTCATAGTAGAGATTGTACATAGTATATAGTATTGCATAGTCTTATATAGTATTATGAAAGTGCTATTCAGTGTCATGTTGTATTGTACAGTTTTAGAGAAGTATTGTATAGCATTTTACAATGTATTATACAGTATAGAAAGCCAGTTGTGCTGTATGGCATTATTTAGTACCATGCACTTTTTACATGTTATTTATACATACATATATATATATATATGTATGGTAGTATATGGGAACAAGGTGTATTGTGTATAGTATTTCGTCTAAAGTACATGACGAGCGCTGGATATGTGGTCTTTTGCACGAGGCTGAGGACACAGGTATCTAGATCAAATAGGGCTGAGGCGCGACAGATACCTAGATCCCGCCCCTTGCTTTTTGGATATCGAATTTCTGTAGCTTCGTTACTATCGGAGCCTTTACCTGAAGCAAAACCTACACCCTCATCCCAGCCTTTAACAAGGTAATATAGGGTTCGGAATAATTACTAGTAGTATTCCCTTATGGTCCCGTAAAAGTTATACTATAAGAACCTCCAACACCCTATTCGAATTCTTATGGCCTCTATCGTAGGACGTGAGGCTCTAGGTAATCTTGATGTCTGTGTATCTGCTCACTGTACGATTGTCACATTGCATGGGTACCTCGACACTTGGCCACTTCTGTAGAGAACTCGTACCTACAGGAAAACCTCGAGTGAGTTGCTCGGGGATCCCTTGAAACAAAGTAGATCCGGCTTATGACTCAGGAACTTTGTGCCCTGTCTTGTGTGTGGTATCACAAGTGATACGATCCAGACTTAAACCCTCCCAGCCCAGAACCCTAAACCTCTAAAGTAGCAGCTTCGCCGAGCACTTCTCTGCAGGTGAAGGCTTGGACATCCAAGTTGGCACAACTGAGCCACTTCGGCTTGTCATCCGAGTTCCTCTGTTTTGAAAATCTTGCATAGGCTTCGAGTATCTCTAAATACAGGCGGGATGCCATGCCCAGGCTGCGTCGTCATTGCTGTAGGTCTGCCAATTTGAGTTCAGCTGGGTAGCTGAGTGTAGTCCAGTCCGCTCGAGCTGAGTCTTTTCGGGTCTTGTCTGAGGCTGTTTCAGGGCCAAGAGAAGAAGGTGATAATCATCTCGACTGTGCGATCCCGGCAAGAGCAGGACGTGCTTTCCGTAAACATCTATGCTTTGAACCCTAAACCCTAAACCCTAAACCCTAAACCCTAAACCCAGGGCGCCCCCCAGTCTTTGAGCGTCGGTACCTTTAGCTTGGTTTTGGCTAGTGCCATTGAAGCCTTTGCTAGAGTTTGCATTTTTCTGTGTTGCCTCTAGGAAAGAAAATCAGAATTGGAAGCGTGGAACAGCGTGTGTGCAGAAGTCCTTGTGTTCCATGTCCGGCTAAACTCTAAAGGAAGTGAGGGGGGCAGAATGAAGCAAGAAAGGAAGAATGTGTAAAGAGCAAGTGACCACTACACTACACCCCGCACACATGTGTTTGCATTCTGTATGTGTATTACCGGATGGATTGAAGGTCGTAGGATTGGGGCGTAGGGGGTGTGGGCGACTACAACCAGTACGACCACTACCACTACGACGACCATTTGCCACCACCTACCACCACCTACCACCACCCACCACCACTTACCAGCACTACCACCACTACCACCACTACCACCCCTACCACCCCTACCACCTCTGCCACCGCCATCACCACTACCTCTACCACTCGACTACTACGACTATGACCACTGTTGTCTTATTCTTGTTCTCTTCACTAGTTGGACGGCCCAAGGGAACCACAACACGACAAATGCAGAACACGAACCAGATTGCCAATGTGCATCCTCCCTAGATCCCTAAGAGTATTCTGGGATTTTGGCTGTACCGACTGCAGGCCTGAAAGCTGTTTCTGAATACTCCCGAGCCTTAAACCCCCTTTCCAGGAGATCAAAAGTGACATCCGCTTCTCATTGGGCTTCCTCGGGAACTACAAGCGCACGAATGTGGCCATTAGTCGTGCGAAGTCCCTGCTCATTGTCGTGGGCAGCTCGACTCCCTAAACCCTAAACCCTAGAAACCTAGAACCCTAAACCCTAAACCCTAAACCCTAAACCCTAAGCCCTAAGCCCTAAACCCTAAACCTTGAGCTGATGATCCTGAACTTCGAGCCGAAGCCGGAGTCCCGAAGCCAGTCCCACCAAAGAACCCAATACCCCTTAGCAACCGAACATGCAAGGACCCCTTCCTTCAAACTGCAACCCTAAACCCTAAACCCTAAACCCTAAACCCTAAACCCTAAACCCTAAACCCTGAACCCTAAACCCTAAACCCTAAACCCTAGACCCTAAACCCTAAACCCTAAACCCTAAACCCTAAACCCTGTTCTGCAGCTGATGTCAACATGATGGCGGGCGAACCAACACCCTAAAAGCTCAGCCCAGCTCATCATGAACTGCCGATTCCCGACTCTGGTGCGAATCGGAAGGGGTTAGGGCTTTCGTGTCTATCGTTGCCCTAAACCCTAAAGCCTACACCCAATCTTTTGCGGGCCAGACATACTTCGCAAGCTGAGAAATCGTCACCATGCCAGCATCGACGCGTCCCCGTTACGGCGTTGGGCTTTGGGGTAACCATTTTGTAGTCTCTGTCAGTTCCGCAGTTCCTGAGCCTACACCGTAAACGTGCGCTTCGTGTAATCATGGCCGCGGGCTCCCTTACAGGGACATTTCCTCATGGTGGATGTTCGAAGTTCTGCGACTAGGGGCTGAGATTCTAATTTACGGGCTAGTTAGAGCATCCAACATCATCCTTCCTAACTTGTTCTTGTTCGTTGGCGTTTTGCAGAGCTTTTGTTTTGCGCAAAAGTACCCGTCACGCTCACATGTCATGTCCCGGCTTCAGGGTCGCTGCCAGGGTACTATCCTGAACCCCAACTAGTGGGAAGCTGACAGCACGTCCAATTGCTGCTAGTCGCTGCAAGAAGTGGTGCTTTGGGTGTAATTATAGTGTAATTATATGTAATTATCCTCGTGGTTTGAACCCTATACCTCAGCCGCATACCCTAAATCATAACCTGAAGAAAGTCTGAACGCTCCAAGGCAACATGACATTGCTCTCCCGTGACGCGACTTGGCAAGGTGCTATCAAGCTGGCGAAGGACACTTTGCCATGATGTCACCATGTTCGTTAGTGTTCATGTTCTTGATATGAATATGTGTTATCTGGGCGTGTAAATGCGAGTGGTAAAACTACTCGTGGCACTGGCTTGCAATGGCACATATCGCAGTACTAGATCTGATATGATTACTGCTTTAATTCTATTGCTCCTATTATCATGACTACTGCTATCGTACCTCTTCTACTTCTACCATGATTGTAGTAATGTTTATGGCCCGGATACAGCCCAACATGCAAGGTTTAGGGTCTGTGGGGTCTGTTCTGGGCTTGCAACGGTTCAGCCGATTCAAACTTTGCTTCCGTCCAAGAGCATTGGCCGCCCCGTCTACTTGGAGGATCGAGGGGCGTAGTAAGTAGTTCTTACGCAGGCTTTACGGCTGTTAAGTAGGATAGCAAAAGTTAGGATCGCTTTTGGGGTTAGCCCTGAACCCCAAACCCAGAACTCCACTTCGTACTTGCCAAGTCCCCCGATACTGCAACCAGGGGTCAGGGGCCTGTTTGCCAAAAGGTGACAAGGAGGGGCAAAGGGCTTAAGTGAGTTGGCCTCCCCAGCAGCACGTTCGCCACTGAAATATTTGAATGGTTTTAAAGAGGTTTGGGGGCTTGGGGTTAGACATGCCAGCCCTCCCCACCGACCCAACCGTCTTTGCCTGCCCTAAACCCTAAACCCTAAACCCTAAACCCTAGACCCTCTTAAGAGCTGCAGGAGATGGGATGCCTCAGAGGTGAAACCTTTGAGATGTCGGCGGTAGCCGGGCTCCTGGGCGAAAGCAGCGAGTGGCGCGGAAGTTCTGCTGTGAGGACCGTGTGTTGACGAAGGTTTAACGGGGTTTTATTTTGGGTGCGGGTTTTGACGGTTTAGGGTTTGGGGTTTAGGGTTTAGGGTGAATGGGTTGCTTGGGATTTGGGGAGGCTTGTGGAAGTATGAGGAAGTGCTTTTGGAGGCTGCTTCAGCGCATTGGGAATCCGTAACGACTAGTTCCCGAGCTGGCATCTACTACAAGCTCCAACCGTAATCCTTGGGATGTTCCCCCTTACACTACCAGTCCTCATTAGGATCATAGTACCCTCTACTATCATTCCCATTCAGGACTGTTAGTATACATGAGGGGGAACATCCCAACCGAAACCCTAAACCCTAGGTGCTGACACGACGGGCGGACTGACTGCCCTACACATTTACATGCCATGCTCATGTCATGAGTAAATCTCCATTTCTTTCAGGCTTCTTCAAGTACATGACCTTCAACTTGATTTTGGGGCACTGCAGCTAGAGACCCCGCATACCAAAACATAAGGACCCAAAGCCTACGAACCCTAAGTTCTTTCGGTGGGAACAGGGCCGGGGTTGGTTCTGTTGTATGTCAGCTTTGGGGATTTATGTCACGTACAGCAGGGGCTGAGGGGTCGGTCTTGTGGGGGTAAAGGGTTTAGGGCTGAGGGTTTGCGAGGAACTCGGGGCCCGTCGCAGACGGTGCGACGGATCGTGAGTGGCGTGACCACCTGTGAGCCATTCCAATGGAGCTCGAAGGGCCTTGCTGGTTTAGGGTTTAGGGTCTAGGGTTTAGGGTTTAGGGACTGTTTAGGGTTTAGGGTTTGGGTTTTCCAGCAGCCTAGTGAGGACATGCTTGCATACCAGCCCGCGTACATCAAACGCAACAGGGACGACACTGTGCTGGCCAGAAATCAGGAGCAAAAGCCAGCATGGACCTGGGAGTAGCGCAAAGGCAGGCACGATCGTTACTTGTTGACGCGCTTTCGGCGTCAAGCGGCTATGAACGAACTGCCCATCCCACGCAAAGCAAAGCAAGGCGAAATATTCAACGGCACGAGCCGTCGCTCCCCCAACAAACGATTGTCATGGCTTGGCGCGGCCGGAGCCATTGATGGGCAGCAGCAGGGTCCCCCACAAAACTTGCATCTCTGGGAGAAGCAAGCTATAGAGCTGCAGTGGCGTTCGGCCCATTGTTTACTTTCTGTTACAAGCTCATGAAAGCAATATGTACTGGTTTCGAAGTGAATGAACAAACCGTTGAATCAGGCAGCACATCCCTTGTCCACCATCTTCGAAGTTTGAGCTCACGAAACCTCGCTATCAGCGACCTTCGTGGGCAAATGTAGGAGAAGGCATCCCGGTAACATCTTGTCAACGGAGGAGTGTCCTGACCTTCCTGTTCGGGATCCTCAGGTTCATTGGGGTTCTGGGTCAGATGGTTCAAATAATTGCATCAGGAAGGGTTGGACCTGTGCGGTTCTTCGGTTCAGAATTTCTTGGTGCTGGGGTTGAGATTCAGCATCCAGAAGTGGACGTCCCAACGTCGAGCTCCGGATGTCAGAGCCCTCTTCAACACAGCTTCGGCTGACAATTGTGAGTTTCTGTGTTGCGGCAAACAGGGGCTGTGAGCCCCTAAGCTGCGGGCAGACCGTCGGCACATTAGGTGCCGGTGTGTTTCGAAGATATACAGCCTGTGCGGCGCAATAGCGGAGCAGCTCTCGCAAACCTTGGACTGTTGCAGCGAGTCCTGCAAATGTCAGTTGTTGCCTGGCTCGGCTGGGTTTAGGGTTTAGGGTTTAAGGTGATTAGGGTTTAGGGCTATTAGGGTTTAGGGTTATTAGGGTTTAGGGTTATTAGGGTCTAGGGAGGCCAATTAGAGTAGGTAAGACCTGGACCCCAATCTCCATGGCCGAAACTGCTGGACCATCTTTCTCGGTTTATCGCACATCCTTTCCCAGATAACATCCCACCGGCTTTTCAGCCCGAAAGCGTGAACCGTGATCAGTGATATCCCAAGCCCCAAGTCTCAATAAATCTACCCAAATAACACTCCTTAACCCCCCCAAAACCTTAAACCGCCCTAAACCCTAGACCCTAAGCCCTCAGCCCTAAACCCCAGTCGCGAAAACCAAACCCAAAACCCCAAGCTCTCTGAACCTTAAACCTCGAACCCGAGACTTTGGCGGAGAACCCTGAGCCACTGAGAGCCCGATGCTCCCAGAGGGCTTGGACCAGGTGGAAGGTGGGATCAGAATTCAGGTGCTTATGAGGGCTTATAAGGGCTTATAAGGGCTTATAAGGGCTTATAAGGGCTTATAAGGGCTTATAAGGGCTTATAAGGGCTTAGGGTTTATGGTTTAGGGTTTAGGGTTGGGAAGTTTAGGGCCCCAATTTTGGGGTTTCAGGATCGTCGGTTTTGCGTTCAAAGAGCTGATTCGTAGGGCCCCCCCACCCCAATGTAATGGTTCGTCGAGTCATATAACAGGCAAGTACATGGATCCCTTGACCACTCATGACCTCAACTCAGATGTCATTCCTTCGCCGGCCTTCAGGTAGAGCCTGCTCTGCAGTATAAAGAGGGACGAAGGGAGCTCGAGCATGCAGAAACCTGCCAAGGTGGCTTAAGAGCTTCTGCTACCAGCAGTCCTGGATGGTGCAGGAACCATCAGTTGGACAACCTAGTCCCCATTACAATGCAATTTTTTGCCTTGCCTCTTTATGTTCGGGGTTTATAGGGATTTAGGGTTCAGAGCGTAGGGCGCAAGGCAACCCAGATGCATGCAGAATCCTGACGAATCCTCCTGTCACTTCGTCGACCCTCCCCCATCTTGTTCCAGCGCGCGCACCAAGCCAATCCGTCGCCATGTCGCTCTCGCCGCGCCAAAGTGCAGAGGGGAGATCCCCAGAACACACTGGCGAAAGGCTTGGGTTGTCGGGTTCCTGTTCAGAAGCGCAAATAGACTTACCGTAATGTGACTGCCCTAAACTCGAAAAGGGTTTCGCCGAACTTAAGTTCATGAGAAACAACCCCGAGAAGATTTGGCAGATACAGGCCTAACCCCCCCCCCCCCCCCACCCAATATCTGGGGGTGTTTGTATCGTTGCCAA